ATGGTTCATATGAATAGTTTATATAAAAGGCAGCCCTTTTTGGAGGCCAGACAGTTCTTGTGTTTGCCTCCTTTGAAATGGCATTATAGCCAGGTTCTCAAAGTGTGAATAGCAAGGTCTGATGAGCACATCATGAAGTTAATGAAAACGATGCTATTTTTCCTGTCATCATAATCATAATTTAGGTCGGTACTAAAAAAACTCAAGGTGTACTTGAACTCATCAATGTCTGAATTCTCAAGTAGAATGTCAGAAATGTCGTGTGATGATCTGCTGTGCAAAAGACGTGAAAATGTGTTGCACATGTTACATTCATTTGCTTCCAAAAAAAGAAAGAAAAATATGTCAGCGCTACTTTCTACTTAGAAAAAGTAACTGCCCATGCTGTTCATAACTTTTTGCATTTCTTCATATTCCAAATCTTTACATGAAAAGCACCCCCCCCAAAAGCCAGATAAATGCTTTGAAAGAAATCTTGCCATGCCATTCTGTTGTGTACTGACTCTTATCTTTGTTGAACTTGCTCCGACCGAGCCAATGACGTGTTTTAACAGGATGAAATTGGTGGGGAAAAAATGCCATAACTATTCTGGGTAAACATCTTTTTCTGGGAATAATTCAAACGAATTCATTGCATGTTTGAAAACATCTCTTCATATTACCATATGCAGGCAGAAATGAGATGTTTATAGTTCTGGTTGTGAGGTCAAAAACACACGATCTTTCTTGCTCTTTTTTGCTCAGGTCAGTAATGCTTTGATGAGTTTGGTGCGGAAGAATTTAGAAGCCCTGACATCAGTTTGGTTTCACTTTCGGTTTCTTTCCAGCTCTCCAAGAACATTGATTACTGGTTGCCATAGCCTAATTGCCATAAATTATTGCCACCCTGGCAGGCAACTGAACTATTTGTCACCATATCAAAATCCCTTGATGGTGAACGATGAGAGGGTATTCTACAAGTTGCGTCATCTGATGCAGACCTGTTAGCTGCCTATAATAGCTCACCTGTGAAAGGTGGTACAGCCTAATACCGCACACGCACATGTTTGTTGCTAGAATGTAGCATGTGAACGCACAGGCACACAATTACACGGAAAGTCATAAGCGGAGTGCAGATCTCATGTTTCAGGGTCTGTGTGATATTTTGTCCAAATCATGATTGGCTAACTAGGCAGATGGTGAAGATCTGCCAAAAATTCTAATAGGTTCATACTTGGCCCTGGTCTTCACCTCTCCACAAAGTTTCATGAAGACAGGCTTATCTTTTATTGCTTTTATTATTTTTCATCACCTTAACACTAAGATCTTCAGATTATGTGATATATTGAGGACAGACACCAGGAGTGAAATAAAGAGAAAATTAACTTTTGTTGGCAACTGGCAAGTGATGAAGCCTTACAAGAAGCTTGCACGTATGACAGCCAAATTCAGATCCAAAAGGGAAATCTGCTCTCAATTTTGTGCGCTCTTGTTTGCAATGAGGGGAGAGGGCGCACAAGGTCAGTCGCGTGGAAGAAAGGATCAGAAAGGTCCAAAAAGTGTTTCAAAGATTTTTACATACCAAACCAACAGGCAGAGCCGTCACTGCAACAGCTCCGAGCCACTCACGTATCAATCTGTGATCTTGGCTAAAAATGGCCCTGGAAACAGTGGGACCGCTCTAACAACTATTTAAAAATTAAATATAATAAGTTTAACTCCTTCTGAGAAACAAACAGTAAAATTGGAAGCATGTTAATATGACAACAAAGGAGCCTGGTGGAAGGTACTTAACACTGTCAATTGCATTGAACATCGCCAATGATATGGTAGCCATTTATATGGTGCAAAAACAGCCATTCAGTTTAAATTCATCTCTCCTTTTATTATTTATCATTTTATCTGTGGTTTTATTGTTCTTGTTTTGATTGTAAAGTGTCCTTGAGTGTTTTGAAAGGCGCTTATAAATGTAATGTATTATTATTATTATTATTATTATTTATCAATACATTGGCAATTTAAACCAACTTACAGTATGTGATTCCAAGCCACAGACATTTCCCTTGTATACTTTTTGATGAGAAAAGAGTGTTAAAAGAGATATGAAATTCTGCACACTTGCAGAGATGTCAGATTTATGTGATACAGTAACCCCATAATCATATTGGAGCTTTGAATTAGCCCCAAACCGGTGAAGATACATTGGTGATGGTGGACGATCGCCTGTTACCATTTTAAGATCTTGGAACTTAAGGTATAAATATCTGAAAGATGGCGGTATGGCGGCCGGCTGGTTAGAACGTCCGCCTCATAGTGCAGAGGGGCAGGGTTCGATTCCGGCTCCAGCCTTTCTTTGTGGAGTTTGCATGTTCTCCCCGTGCCTGTGTGGGTTTTCTCTGGGTACTTAGGTTTCCTCCCATATTCCGAAAACATGCATGGTAGGTAAACTGAACACTCCAAACCAGGGGTGTCAAACTCATTTTAGTCACGGGCCAATTTGGAGTTACATCCCTCGGAGGGTCGATGATAGTGAAACCACAAATTTATTACTTGTAAAATCAGTCAAGTCAATTAAAATAGTTTGTTCAATTATTGTTCAAGTGAGTGTAAACTGGGTAGCAAAATTATAAGAACATCTCAATGTTATTTATTACACATGACAGTTTGACATTTTAGTACAGATTTTAGCAAGTTGACACACACGATTTGCTTTTGCGGGCCACCTAAAATTACCTGGCGGGCCGGATCTGGCCCCCGGGCCTTGAGTTTGATAAGTGTGCTCTAAACTGTCTCTAGGTGTGAGTGTGAATGTTTGAACGGTAGGTAGAGTGTATTGTTTTTAATGTTATGACATTGTCGTTCCAAGATCTCTCATGGGATGAATAAGGTATCTGTCTGTCTGTCTGTCTGTCTAATTCAGTGGGAATTATTTTTATGACCCCCAAGTCAAAGTTCACTGACCCCCATCAGAAGTTGTTGTACAGTATGTGCCCACATGTAACCGGTATCATGATGGCTTTTATTGCATATCTCAAATGGAAAGCTGAATGTCTCTGTAAAAGTATCTTCATGGGGAAGGTGTATGTGCAGAATGCAGTACTTTACCAAATAAGGACTGTATTAAAAGAGTGAGGAATACGGAAAACAATATCATGGTTGTTGCCGTGAAGTAGAGGGAAAGCTTTTGCTATTCATCTTCATTTTGTCTCATTGAAAAAGACAAACTAAAAACATAACACAAGTTCAGTCGAGAATTGCCATTGTTAATTGTCAGTTCTATTTAGAAGAACATGAATCACTGAAAGGATTATTTACAAACAAAGAAGACGGCAGACATAATGGCATGTCTAAAAGTACAGTAAGTCAAAACTTGACAATTTTATGATTGTGTGAGCAAACGGGAAAAAAGACAAATGCATTTTCCCATAGGAAGGGTGTGCGAAATGTCTGTGGGCGTTTAATTTATGTGAGTTTAATACCACACAGACTCACAAATATTGTTTAGTATCAAAGTCACAGTGAGCCCTGGATTGAACTTTGCCGATAACCAGACTGTGACTCCACTCGGTTCATAGAAACTACAATGCATTCATAATAGTGACTTTCTTGACCCTGCCTGACTTCCCACATCATCTGCTGCCTGTACATGTAAAATTATGGATAATTTTCTTCCCAGGGGACCACACAAAATGAGAACCATGTGTTTACCTTTTGTTAATGTTTCAACAGAGAGACAGTACATTCTAGATTATAGTACGTATGAAAGTATTGTATAGTCATTTGTCACTAGAGCACTAGCAGCACTGTATCTTAATGGCACAAATATTTGAGCAAAATTGTCAGAACGCGTTTAAAATTGAGTGCATACATCACTGTGAAGGTATTAGCTGTTCCACCAAAAGTTGTGAATATATAATGTTGTTTCAAACCTTCCTAAAACAGAAAGAAATTAGATGAGTCTGCAGAAAGTTATCTTACCGTGCATTTAAATGTCTTGTAGTTACTGTTAGAAATGTAAGAGAGAAAATTATCTCACCGTGCATTTAAATGTCTTGTAGTTACTGTTCGAAATGTAAGAGAGAAAATTATCTCACCGTGCATTTAAATGTCTTGTAGTTACTGTTCGAAATGTAAGAGAGAAAATTATCTCACCGTGCATTTAAGTGTCTTGTAGTTACTGTTAGAAATGTAAAACACTTCTAAACTAAGCATTTGAATACAACCAGCAAGTCATTCGTTGATGAAAAGAGGTTACTCATACGCTCATGTAAAACATATTCTGCGTGTTAACAAAAATATGAATAAAAAAACAGAGAATGGATGGATGGATGGATGAAACTTTTGAAATTGGCTTTAGCGGGTAAATGGGGACCTCTAGAGGAATAATCTTCACATTACACATCGCGACTGAGTGAAATGCAGTGCGTAAACGTGCAATACTGTAATATCATCATCGACACATCTGCTATTTCGGAGGCCACAGGACTATAACGCAAGGCGTGGTCGGGGTTCTATTCTAATTAGAATTATGCAATTTGTTAAGATAGTCATTGGAATCCTGAAATTTTGTTTTATTGATATCACATGACCATCTTTGCATCCTTCTTCATTACATACTGAAATAAAATTCTCTGTAGAGTAATTAATAACTGAGACATTATATTGTATTGCCCTTGTAGATAGATGGTCAAGGCAGACTCACTTCTGAGCCACCGTTTACACCTAAATGTCCTTTTGCTCTTTCATTCGAAATGGAGTGCTTTGCACTTTCATCTTAGAATGAAGACATCCATCCATCCATTCATCCATTTTCTAATCCCATTTTTCAGTACGTTTTCACTTAGAGGAAATAACATAAGAAGAATATGCATTGTGAATTCAATTTAAAGACTGTTGCATATAATTTTTCAAACTTTGTAATGAATCTCAAAGACCTGTGGTTTTGTATTGAAATGAATGGTTTTACGGTAGTTCCTGTTGGGGGCGGGGCTGGAACAAAAGGGTCTGAAATCATCGCTGACGTTGACCAATCACAGGGAGAGAAATGACGGCGAGTCTTCCAGCAAACCCTCTTCTGTAATCCCCGTTAGCTTTGTTAATTGGTTATTTGATCAAGATCACTGGATTTATATAGCACAGACAGCCCAAGATACGATATTTGTTGGAGACACTGAAAGAAGGGAAGTGAATTCATTTAGCGTGATGTAATATCTTAGATTTAGAAGCGTATGCGGGCATGTGTGATAAGCCGCTTTGGGTAGTGCAGAGCTACCTGCTGCCTGTGCATGCAGCTGTCATCGCACCTAGCTGGTTAGCTTAGCTGCATAGGTGCGCTAACGACCGCTCCGGGCTAATAGACTGTTAGTACAGTCAAATCAGCAGTCGCTTTTTGGAGTTTAGAGTAGACCAGTGTTTCCCTTCTTGACGCCAAAACGTTAGTTAAGACACGTTCTGGTCCTGCCCTTTTCGGACAAAGCGTTAGCCCGGACAACCTGCTTTGTCTTTTTCGGAATACTTTGAAGTCCAGTTTGTCAGCGAGCGTTAAGCTAGCTGCTGTCATTCAGTCAAAGACAGCTACCTCATCAGCCACCACCTCGGTCGGGGACCGATTGTTCCTAATTCACGACAGACTTTCTTTTGTGTTTTATACACTTGGATATCGGAATTGTCGATTTGGATAACACCTGCTGGGAATGAAGAAATTCTTCGACTCACGCCGGGAGCTCGTGAGCTCGGGGCCTGGTCCGGGAGCCGGCGGAGGGGGCGCCGGTTCCAGCAGCGGAGGCAGCTTCATCGGCCGGGTTTTTACCCTTGGACGACATCAAGTGACCATCGAAGAGATCGTGGCTGAAGGTGAATGGACGTGCTTTCGCCTCGTTTCAGTTTCGTTCAGTTAAATCACGTTGCAAGCATTTAGCACCCCCAGGTTTTTGATTTAATTGCCAAACTGGGAGAAAGCAGGATTAAGTTTCTAATCCCTTGCGTCCCACAGCAGTGCATGTTCTTCGTGAAATGTTTAATTCGTGATATACTTTATTCATTCATCCTTTTTTTCGGGGTGGGGGGGGTGTAAGAACGTGATAATTCATTCCAGGTAATGAAAAATGTATTGGACTGACTTCTAATCACGCTTTTTGCAACATATTTTGTGTCCTTAATGATGTATGAATTCTGTGTGATTTATAAACCGTTGTTTGTGCAAGGATAATCTGTTTTCATTACCATTTGCATATACTGTACATAAGTGTTCTTTTAGTCCTCAAAATTCGATAAAAGTTCATACGTCACTGAATTTCCTGGTTGCACATATTACCTCAAGGCTGGGAGTAGCTTGGAAAAAAATGTATAAAGTCAGTGACGTGCTGAGTCATTGGTAATTGTAAGCATAAACATTGGGCTCCACGTTTTCCTGCTTGCACAATCACGCTTTAAGTTTTGCCGCAGGCGGTCCAAATAGTTCCAGTAATATTGACTCTTAGTGCTGATTACGCCATTCATTTCTGAAGATACTTTTATTATGTTTAACTAAACGGTTAAACAGAATTTGTGTTTTCCATCACCCAAATGAAAGTCAGCCTTGTTGTTTTAGCCAAGAGGGCCTGTTACTGAATAATAGATTTACAAAGACTGATTTATTTATCAGCTTTCTGGCAGGACTCCAGCTCTGTGGCCACTTCATGAATGGTCTGGTCATCTGGCCACAAACAACAATACAGAGAGAGAAACTAATGTCATGAAAACTGCGCAGTTGCTAGAATTGACTTTGATGAAATTAATGAAAAAACGGAGGATAGTGAAATCACAGTTGGTCTACTTTTTGGAACTTGTTTAAACAGATCACTTTTCTGTTTTAATTTATTTATTGGAATTTGACACTGACATCTGCAAAATGGCCTGCTTATGCACATAGTTTTCGTGTGCTGCCTTGATCTTTATAGACTATTTTAGCAGTATGCATGCAAAAATCTCGCAGACTTGCTTGCTCGACACTTTGAAATAGTTGCAGTCTGCGTTTTTCTTAAATACAAATTGTCTCTGTTCGGTCACACAGACCATGTGCATTGAACATCTTGTGATGGTGTGCATAACACAAGGCTCCAATGATTTACTCGCTCATCTGTGAAGCAAAATCATTCACTAACGCGCGAACTCTATAAAGAAAACACTGGAGCCCCCAAGCTCATCTGTCTTCAATCGACAGGACAATGCCACTTGTATCTTGTTTCATTATCACTGTGTAACCCTGCAGTAAAGTAGTTGTAAAGATGTGGAACATTCTAAAGCCTCATTTATTACGGCGTTGACAAGTGGAACCAAATATTGTGCTTTTCATGGCTATGCCCAAAGGGTGCCTTTGCATTTCGTGAGCATTTTGTTTTTTTGTGTAAGCACAAGCGGGCGGGTGGAGAATAATCCTGACAGTTGGTTATGTCATTGGGCAGTGGCTATTTGTAGCTGTACTTAGTTATTCTTTTGGCACTGTCTCCTAACAGAGTAGACTGCAGTGAAATGGTCCTCAAGAAGCTTGCTAATCCTTCTAATTTCTTACAGTCATCTTAGATTAGACAGCATGTCGTAAGATATCTCAACTCTCAGGGAACACACACGCAAGGTATGGTTCTAGGGTCTCATGTAGATTGTTATAGAATTATCAGTAATTCTTTTCCAAATAAAATCACAGATGTACCACATTTTTGGAGACGGTAGAAAAAGAGATGAGGAGGGATGAAACGGTATAATATTTTAGTGACCAAAAATGATCACTTATCAGCACTGTCCCAATATTAGAAAAAAACACACTCCATTTTGCTTCAGTAATTAATTCTGAACAGGCAATTTGTTATCATACCTTTTGCAAACTGTGTCGCAACATATTGTTTTGCATTGTGTCACTGCAAAAACCACGCTCATATCAGTGCAACCCCCCCCCCCTCCCCCGTTTTATGACTATGGTTATTCAAGTTTCGAGAGATCTTTTTGAAGGTAATAACATAAACAAGCATCCTGATATTGCAGATATTTCAAATGCTGAGTCAGTTAATAAAATATTCTGTGACAAAACATCACAGTGACAAACAGAACAGCACCCAGATTTACAAATTTCAATCGATTTGTTGAATTTGTGTCCCGGCTGACTCCCTCCCTATATACTCAACTGATTTATTTTCATCGGTTGCGCTGGTCCATGTAAGTACTATAATCGTTCTAGGCACTTGTGAGCAGTCATAGCATCACGTTTACGATTAGATGTGCTGTGATCTACCCTTTTGTGGTGAATAGTACAGTGTTTGATCTCGCATCGTTCCATCTCTTTGCAGGAGGTTTTGCCATTGTTTTTTTGGTGCGAACAAATCAGGGTCAGCGGTGTGCTCTAAAGCGGATGTATGTTAACAATGAGCATGATCTTCAAATCTGCAAAATGGAGATACAGATTATGGTGAGTGGAAAAAGTGAGCAGAAATTTAACATTGCATTTTTCTTTTGGCTCTCCGAGAAGTCGCAGTCAAACTGTGTTCTCACCTATTACACTTTTTATATGCTCAATAAAATGACGAAATGTACATCATCCCTGTTTAGACCAGAGCACTTTGGAGATCAATAAAATGATACGTATAAACTACAGGCTGTGGCGGGTGCGGGGGGGTAGCGTAATCATTGTTACTGTGTTTTGTATATTCTTGCAAGCATTAAATTGGCACTTTGTCTTTAAAACCGAATTCATTACAGTCTAAATGTTCATTAAAGAAATAAGCAGTTCTTACACACTGTTTGTCATGAATGAGAATTGTAGTGTGTGCGCGACTAATTTTCCAGAATTTTTACAGATAAGACATACAACCATGGATGTATTTCTCAAAATGTCTTAACGTTGTAACGGTAACTGTTTTCCCACTGTTTCCCTGTCCTTGTTTATTGATATAGCGGGACCTCGTAGGGCACAAAAACATAGTTGGCTTCCTGGATTCCAGCATAGCTGCAGTTGGAGCTGGCGATGTGTGGGAGGTCCTAATTCTTATGGACTTCTGTCGAGGTAAATTTGTCGACCGTCAGCTCTTTCCTTTTGATGTTACCGGTATATAAAAATATTTCATTTGATTTGTTTTCACCGCCAAATGTTGGAAAAACCTCACAATAAAAGATAGTTTGCTCTATTTGTGGCCGATGAATTCAAAGAAATTAAGTCATCATTTCAAGCCCTGGTTTTAGCCTGAAATGCCTAGAAAATACAGAATTGAACATTTGGGTTTCATAAGAAGATGCAACCTCAGCCTCTGGTATCGTGTTATCTTGGCACTAGCCTATACAGTATTTCAGCAAATGACTTTTTTTTTTTTGGTAGGCGGACAGGTGGTCAACCTGATGAACCAGCGCTTACAGACAGGCTTCACAGAGGCAGAGGTGTTGCAGATCTTTTGTGACACGTGTGAGGCTGTTGCTCGTCTTCACCAGTCCAAGACTCCAATCATTCATCGAGACCTCAAGGCAAGTTATGAGTTGCAAAAGTTAACTTACCTGACATTTTTGTGTAATAGCACTGCAGTGAATTATTGATTTTGTTCTTCCTGTCTAGGTGGAAAATATTCTTCTGCATGACCATGGACATTATGTGCTGTGTGACTTTGGGAGTGCTACAAACCACTTCCAAAACCCACAGACAGAGGGTGTACCTGTCATCGAGGAGGAAATTAAAAAGTTGGTTTTCTTTGCCCTCTCCCTTTACAAACTTGTCGGCAATTGAATAGATGTCTTGAGAAATTATGTGTATGTCTTTACACCAGGTACACTACTTTATCATATCGTGCGCCAGAGATGGTCAACCTCTATGCTGGTAAAGTCATCACAACAAAGGCAGATATATGGGTGAGGTGTTTGGATCACAGGATAATATTAGTTTACAGGTGTCAACAACTAAGCCACATTAACTTGTGTTTTTTTTTGCAATTGCGGGTGCAGGCTATGGGATGTCTTCTCTATAAACTATGCTACTTCACGCTTCCTTTTGGGGAGAGCCAAGTTGCTATCTGTGATGGCAGTTTCACCATTCCAGACAATTCACGCTACTCCCACGATATGCACTGTCTCATCAGTAAGCAGCAGTTGTCGTCTTCATTTTCTAGTTATTTTGTATACCATTTGCAGTTACAGTTTCACAATGTTTAAATTATGTCTGTATCACACAGTACATTGCCTTTATTTTTCCATGTACTTAGTTCATGCATGATACATTTACTTAGTTAATGCGATAGCCATCTGCAAGGGCTGAAAACTCCACGGGGTATCCAAATGATACATATTCAGGTCAAACTGACAGTCCCGTTCCTTAAAAATGTGCATGTGTGCAGTTTCTATACAAGTGTGAGGTGGAGTATTTACATTACTGAAAACTGAAGATCCCCCGTGTGGATTTTTCAGGATATATACTGGAACCCGACCCCGACAAGAGGCCAGACATCTATCAAGTATCTTACTTTGCCTTCAAACTGAATGGACGAGAGTGTCCTGTTCCAAATTTACATGTAAGTTCAGAGTGATGGAAATAAATTATGTCTTGGATGACCGTTTCCTTTATGTCAGCACATTCTAATTCCCAGACAACTAAAAACTGCTGAGTGTTGTATATTTCTTCATATTTTATGTGGGGTACCTAAAGGCCCTATAAAAATACTTGATTGTTATCTAGTTTTGACTGGATCTACTGTATGGTATTTTATTCTTTTTTTTTTTAGTGCACTGATTAGACACAAATTTTATCATTTAATTTCATTTTATCCATCCAGAATTCATCCATTCCTGCAAAACTACCCGAGCCTATCAAAGCCAGTGAAGCAGTGGTCAAAAAAAGTCAAACCAAAGCCAGGTGAGAAATAAGCTAAAACTCTTGATGTTTTTTGTAAAAATGAATGTAAACATTACAACGCACATTTCTCCTTCCATGCTTCAGGATCACAGACCCCATTCCTACCACCGAAACCTCAATAGCGCCTCGACAAAGGCCTAAAGCTGGCCAGACTCAACCACAGCCTATATCAGGCATCCTTCCCATACAAGCAGGTCTGACCCCACGCAAGAGGCCCAATGTTGCTGCTGCTGCTGCTGCAGCACCCCAGGCCATAGCTACCAGCTCTTTAATCCCTCTACATGTCACAGTTAAAACCCTGGCTTGTTTTTATTTCCTGATAAGTCAACTTTAACATGGGACTAAACACAGTGATCTGTGGTTAATAGGAAAATTCTTTTGTTTCTTTCTTCTAGGTGTAGGTATTAATGTCCCAGCTCCAGGTGCCCTCCAGACTTCCCAGCAGGCTCCTGCTGCAGCACAGGCTTCAGTGCGACCAATGCAAACCACCACCATTCAGCCTCAGGTCACACCGCGACCTCAGCAGCTCCTCATGAAACAGCAGCAGCCTTCTGCTTTCGTACACCTACAGAATGCCCAGCAGGTAGGCATCACAGCAGGAGAGCAAGAAAGGAAATGCAGTCAAGGCTGTATTGTACGACTAAAAGGTTTGGCGTTTAAAAGTCCGTCACTGTCAGTGTGACTTGTAATTATTCACTCTTGAACAGCGGTTCATGTTTCCACTCATTTTCAAGCAATAATCTGCAGTATCTAATAAGGCATGAAAACCAACGACACATTCACACAGTTTCTCGAAAAGTACAACTGACCATCTCGGCCTCTGCCGCATGCCTGTCAATATCCCCGCAGGCATAAATATCTAAAGTATTCTATGAATACAAATAAATTGATGGACACATATGACCAAAATGTGGTCGTAGTCCTGTGTGGAATCATCTGGCACAGAGCTTTGACCACCAAGTCCAGCATACTGCCACTGTGACACCCACGCTGCTGCAGTACACAGCTAAGCCATATTTCCTCGCTCTCACACTGCACCGGCAGCAGCAGCATGAGGTCCAGGAAAGCCCAGTTCTCCATCTGACCCCCATCCCTGAGTGCTCCGTCATTGGGCCAGATGCTGATCCAGATGTGGTAACTTCCTGCTCATAGTGCCGTCTGCTGCTGACATGGCATTTAATCGCCCCTTCTTCCTTTATTGCTCTCCCTGTCTAAAATCAGTGCACTTACTCTGATTGACCTTGAAAATGGACAAACTTCAGGTGCATCATGTCTAACGTGAACCCTCTCGGGACTTCTTTCATGGTTTGTCTACGCATCATCTATTGTTTGGCTTTCATTTCATTGGCAGGAGGTGTCAAGACAGACATATGATCTTTTTTCCTGATTTTTCTGATTCCTCTTCAACCACTCATCCTTGATTATTTAAGTGTGGGAATTGTTGGTTGTTTTTTTTTTTTTTTTTTTTTTTTTTTTTTTTTTAAAACACCCAATTGTTAAACATCCTGTAGATATTTTTCATGCTCACATCCCTTATTGTCCCCCCCCCACACACACACAGGCAACTGGAAGAGGGCACAAAGTCGGCTCCCTAACACCCCCATCGTCCCCGAAAATGGCAGCCAAAAGTGGTCATAGACGCATCCTGAGCGACGTCACTCACAGTGCCATCTTTGGGGTCCCCATCAGCAAGTCCACCCAGCTACTGCAGACAGCCGCAGCTGAGGCCAGCCTCAACAAGTCCAAGTGAGCAGAATGAGCTCCCCTCAGTGATGTGAGGAGTGACTGTCCTTTCATGGCACCGCAATAGATAGGCCTTTCACTTGACACGACCACGATGGAGCAAAAGCAAACCTTTTACATCAGACAGAATCTTGCTGAAGAAACACTGTTCACACATTTTGTTTACATACACGATGAAATCAAGCCAGAGTTGTAACACACATGGGAAATTCTAACCGCTTTTTTCCTGATCTGTAGGTCAGCCAGCACGACTCCTTCTGGCTCTCCATGCTCGTCCCAGCAGACTGTATATCACCCAGCTGATGTGGACACCAGGTCTGCCAATGTTACACCCAAAACTCAGCCCAGTTGGAACCCCTTTGGCGACGATAACTTCTCTACGCTAACTGCTGAGGAGCTGCTTAACAAAGACTTTGCAAAACTAGGTGAAAGTATGTGCACTATTCTATGTACTGTCGAGTAAAACACAGACAAGTGTGAGAGAGTTGTTAAATACCAAGATATCTTTTTTTTTCTTTTCTTTCTTTCTTTAACACAGCTGCTGCACCAGGGGAGAAGTCCAGAGGTGACACTCTCATTCACGGGCTCAATTCATTTGCAGGTAAGAGTTTGTTGGACTCTTGTTTTTTCATGCATTTGCCTCTTTATCTTGAAATGGAAGATCTTGTAATGTCCACGGCACAGAATCATTTCTTGTTCTTGATTGAAGGAAGCTTGCCGGCATCAGAGTTGCGACTGCTCCTTTCAGAAGCCTACCTTTGTTGACATATGTTAGTAGCCGCACAGTGGCTCCTTGTCAGTTACCATGAATAGAGTCTCGGCCTGCAGCGAGCTCGCATCTCAATTGCAGATCTGTGCTTTTATGGTCACTCGGTACAGCAAAGACAAACACTTCTTTGTTAATTGGATTTCCTTACTGATGAACTGTGTTCTCAAACCTCTGAGCCCAGTCGGGCAGTCACTCAGTCTTTTATGTCCTTTACTTCTATCGAAACAAATGCCCCAAAATGTATGTTTGGGTGAATTTGACACTATTGCATAACAAGGGTGCATTTTACCTCCTAAACCACAGGTGTCAAAGTCCAGTCTTTGAGGGCCGGTCCTGCATGTTTTCCATCTCTCCCTGCTGCAACACACCTGATCCAAATGATCAGCTCATCACCAAGCTCGAGAGGAGCCTGATAATGATTCCGATCATTTGAATTGGGTGTGTTGCAGCAGGGAGACATGGAAAACATGCACGGCATCGGCCCTCGTGGAATGGACTTTGACACCTGTGTAACTGTGAGAGGCACGTGAGTTGGATGATGCAATTTGTTCTTCCACCTTTGTCAAACAATTGACACGAAACATAATCCAGATCCAATTTTTTGGCATTGATGAACTCCAATCTGCACATTACAATATATTCACTAGGCATTAGTAACACCTGCATCGAGGTAATGAAATTATTTTATCAATTGCAGCCTTGCTCTGTATGATACAATGTGATTCTCTACCACTCGAAAAGTACAATAATAAAAGTGTCTATTGTTAAATAAACTCAAAAGCTTTAACTTTAGCTTTATTATATTTATTATCTTTGCAACGACCTGTGGATCTCATCAGATGTGTGCAAGTGTACTTAGTGATGTGGCCAACGTGTTTCGTCCTGTTTTATATTTGGTCAACCATATTGTCACTTTCTGATGTTAGCATTAGCTTTTCAACAATGGTCTTTCCTTTAGAGAAGGGGCTAAAGGGTCACATCTGCTGTGCCATTTTCTGAGCCAACACATTCCTCCTGTAAGAATCCCTCCCCCCCAGCACAAATTTTTCCCATTGTGATTTCCCGTAAGTATGGACTGCTATGAGAAACTGTGATGTTGTCTGCTCAGCTGACTAAAATGAGGTTTTGGGTTCGGCGGGGCCCCTCTCTGCTCAGTGTTGTTTGTTCAGCTGAACGCTTACTGATGAGTTTCCAAGTTTGTCTTTGCCCGGTTGGTCTCATACTGTTGGCAAAAGTCTTGCTCTAACCTGTAGTGTGTTGCTGTATTCACCAGACCTATCTTGCTAACACATTAGATAGGGCTAATGAAGCCATTCATAAATACAGAACGCATGTATTATAGTGATATACAACCAACTCTGTTTTTTGGTTGGATTGAACACCGCTTGAAGCCCTAACACTGCTTGAACGTCTATACTTTGTTTATGCTTAAACTGTTCTGTGAGCGTGCGTGCGAGCGTTTGAAATAATAATCTTTCGTCCAAATAAGCGACAATGGATATATTTATTCCCTCAGCACACTGGTTGGGAATCATTGACATAGACAACTTGATTGATCATGGACAGAAGTCTCACGAAACATGTCATCTGTACCCCTGGCCTTTCAACACTCGCTGACCCTTTGAACACAAATGGTGATACCGGTGCCATCTTTATTTTTCTTCCCCGCCTTACTGAAAAATAGTTTCCACTTTGCATCTTTTTTTTTCTTGCCTTTCTCTCAGTTTTCAGTTATGTAGTACTAACCTCAGGAAGATGCCTTAGCAAAGGAAATGATTCTCCTGTCTTGCTTTCTTAGGTTTGTGTAGCAAAGATAGTGTTGTGTGTAGGTTCAGCTCACCACTGCCAACATGCCAGGTTAGCGTTGCAGGGCAAAGTATAGGGGTGTCGGCAGCATAAAATATCGTTATATTTCACTTCTTTCTTGTTATGGAAACAATTGTGTTTCTTGGATTGGAAGTGCCAACGTAATGCAGTATTACCTCTTCGTTCAGTTTGTTCCAGCGGGCCGCCCACAGGAATTGGAAAATGGAAGTTGAGTTCACCTGTTTCACGATCCAATTGTTGCCTTTATAAAACATTTATTGACTAAATAATGTTTCTTAAACGTCATTCTTAACAGTCATATTCGTTAGCCACTGTAATATTAAGACGACACCCGCATTTTTGTCCACGTCAGCTCACATTCGAACATTGACTGTTACACGGGTATTCAAAGGAGTTCATCTGTGTTGCTTAAGTAGCGAAGTATTACGTTGAATGGAGTGAAAAGGCCACAGCAATCTGTTGTCTAAGGAAAGTAATGCTTTGAGAACCGGCGAAACTTTGAAACATTGACGAATGCGTTCAAAATTACGTTGTCAACCATGTCCAATGCGTTCTGCTGCTTCAACTTTCAGCCCACTCTTTTACTTTGACTCCTTCTCATTATGAGTTTGCATTCTTCTTGTGACTCAGACTCTTTAAATGGGAAAGACTCTCTGCTGGGCTGCCATCTTCTATCTCATACTTCTCCTCACGGAAACCAGAATGTTTCTGCTACTTCTTCCTATCGGCCCTCTGCTCCTCTTGGCTCCTGCTCCGCAGCCTGCCTGGAGGAGCTGCAGCCTGCTCAGACAGCTGCTGGTAAGCCCTTCCACTGTTGTAAGCACTGCTTGGCCACCTTTGTGTCAGTGCATAATGTTTTACTGTTGTTGCTCCACTTTTTCCTTCGACAATCGAAGCGAGACGGATTATTTTATGTTTTTCAGTCTAACTCCAAAAAGCAAAAAAACAGGCATTAGTTACAAGCATTAGTAAAGCTAAGTTAACCTTGTTACCCACCACAGTCAGTCAGAACCATGACCACAGTCCATAAGGAAAACATCCTGTATGCGTTACTGTAATTAGCTTCATGTATTACGTAGGACACAAAAGATACGCTTTCACTAATCTTTGTCCGTCCAGTTTTAACATGTCTTTACAAATGTAAGTACAGGTTACGTAAACACAATAATTAATTCATTCACTCCCAAAGACGTTTTTAAACATCTTTCCAGACTTGATCTAGAATTGGCTGGTACTGAATGAGTTAAGTATTAAAATGGTTTAAAATGTTTTTCACAGTATGTTTTTGGTTGAATATTATTTAAAAAGAACTAAATAATCAAGTCAGTTTTTGATTTGTAATTATTTTTAATTGCCAATTGAAAGACCAAATGACACACAGATTAATAACAGTGTCTCTCTCTCATGCTTGTGAAAGAAAAACCCAAAGTGACCCTGAAATTCCATATAGTAATCTCTTGTTGTTCCCGGTTAATGGGGACCAGATCCCCCTGCCAAAGGTGAAAAACCGCAAGGTACTTTTTTTTGATTAGTTAAATGCGCTCCAGCCCCGCGCCGCTGCCGTTGAAGCAATGTGTGCCTGTTGATGGAGCCATCTCCGTGAAGGGACGAGCGAGCTTACATGCTCCCACACACCCAGGACGCATTGCCTTTCCTGCGGCAAGGGGCTGGAACGCAGTTTAACTAATCAAAAAAAGTTATCGAATAAACAAAAAAAAAAATTGAGAACATTAAGATACAGGAGGCAAGACAGTCAACAACGTGACAAGACAGAACAACGAAGGTGCTGGGTGAGGCACCTGATTATTCTTAGTATTTTTTTAATGAATACATTATTTTAGAAGAGATTCTCCTTAGGAGTGACAAGGATGGACAGCATCAGAAATGAGGTCATCAGAGGGACAACTCAGACAGGAAAGTTTGGAGAAAAAGTGAGAGAGGCCAGACTGAGATGGTTTGGACATGTACAGAGGAGGGACAGGGGATACATTGGTAGGAAAATGTTAGAGATGGAGCTACCAGGTAGGAGACAGAGAGGAAGGCCAAAGAGGAGATTCATGGATGCCGTGAGGGAAGACATGCAGGTAGTTGGAGTCAGAGTAGAGGATGCAGAGAACAGGGAAAGATGGAAATTAATGACTCGCTGTGGCAACCCCTGAAAAGGGACAAGCCGAAAGGAGAAGAAGAAGAAGATTATTTTAGAAAAGCCCATGAAGCACCGAAGCCGCAAAACATTTAAATGCAAATTAGCGAGGGATTACTGGATTTATATTGCTATTTCTCTACCCCTCCTTTAATCGCTGCCTTGTGCTATGGCTGGATTAACTGCTTTCCCCTCAGATCTGCCTTTCCTTCACTTCCTCTTCCTTCCTTCCACTGCAGACTCTTCTTTCCTCATGTCGCAAGGAGAGAAAGGGAATAGTGACGAGTTTGACCCTATTCCTGTGCTCATCTCCAAAACCTCAAACCAAGGTAAGAAGAACAGAATCCTGAGATGAGCGCCCGTATCGGTTGTCAGCAGGACAGATTCTGAGCCCTTCTCCCTCAACGTAGCCCTCTGTGACTTGTGATGTGAGAAGTTGTAAGTCAAGCTCTCACATTGGAATATGTGAGACTCCACCCTGCAAGGGTTTGGCTTCTGTGGTTATTCTATTGAAAGTCCTCCCATGTTAGATCGGTGCTCCCTGACTCTCCCCTGTGCTGATGCAGCCATATTAAGATTAACCCGGCTCACTCTCTGCTTTTTTTCTCTTTTCCTGCCCCTGTTCATGCACCCCTCTGCTCTGATCCTCCTCATCCACTCGTCCCTTTTTTATTTCTTTGATTCACACAATTTCCTTTCATATGACTTATTCTTTGGCTCCCCCATCTCCCTCGGCTCTTCCATGTACATTTCTGTGTCTTGTCTCTCTTTCTTTCTCTGACATGTTTCAGGTGGTCACTCACGCAACAACAGTGGCAGTTCAGAGTCCAGCCTTCCCAACTTGACTCGCTCCCTTCTACTGGTGGATCAGCTCATCGACCTCTAGAGGGTTGGGAGAGGTCAAGGGGGGGGCAGTGTGTAACCCTGACGTTGGACAGGGGAGGCGGGTTAGAGAGATGTGAAAAATGTAGCATCTTCTGAAATGAAAGAGAGGACTTGGCATAGACTTGTTCCCCGTCGGCACTGATAGGCTGTTTTCATAAAGCTCTGCTAACATTCCCATCAATGCTCAAGCATATCATGGTGTAGCCGCTAACATTGGCTACACCATGGCCTTCCTCACGCTTTTCCCCCATAATTGCTCATTTAACATGCAGCCATGGTGGTCTTCTTTCATTTCACGATGGACTGCTCGACGACGGCTGCTTTGCTTTCCCCTTGTGTGCGTGCGTGTGTGTGTGCTGCGTGTTTTGAAGCTTTATTTGGAACCACTCTTGACCAAAAGACTGAGATTGAGAGTTTTAGGCACTTTCTCTCAAAACTCACACAACATACTTTTAGGCTCTGACCTGGAAAAACATGCACCTGCACTGACTTATTAGGGGTGACAAAATCTGTCCAGGCAGGTTTCTCAGATGGCTGTGGATTGTTGCGCTGGTGCTTTCATACACTGGTTTGTAAACATCAAATATAGTACATGTGAACCCCAGTTCCAGTAAAGTTGGGACATTATATGAAATAAAACCAATACAATGATTTACAAATCTTTTTTTTAACCTATGTTCAATTGAATATGCGACAAAGAGGTATTTAATGTTCAAACTGATAAGTATTATTTATTTTTTAAATACTCCCACATTTTGAATTTGATACCCGCAGCACATTCCCAAATGACAGCGGCAAAAAAAAAAAGGAAACGTTTCGGACTTCTCAAAAAACACCTGTTTGGAACATGCCACAGGTTAGAGGGATACAAGGGGGTGCCATGATTGGGTATTAAAGGAACATCCCTGAAAGGCTCAGTTGTTGGCAGGCAAGGATGGGGTGAGATTCACTACTTTGTGAACAACTGCATGCATAAATAGTCCCTCAGACAACACTGCATTCAAAACTTGCATTATTGTGTAGCGGCTGTTGCCACGCAGGCTAAGAAACACTTCAGTAAACCATTGTCAGTAAATACAGTTCGCAAAACCAACATGCTGTTAGCTGGTGATGCCAGCAAGACTCCAGCTGGTCACCAGCTATCCCCAGCTCCTGTTGGGTCCCCGGCAATGCTGGGCGGTTTTGGCTCTGTTCATAGAGCGGATTGCCCAGAGCTGTTGGAATCTTGGCTGTTTTGTTGTGGTTTTACTGATCAGTAAGACCAGTGTGAAAACACAACAAAACTATGCTGTTTTTTTTTTTCTAGCAGGGTGTTAGAGGAATCTATGGGCGAAATTGTATCATGTTTAAAGTTTCATTTGATCTGTGCACGTTGAAGCGTCTGGGTGCGTAATTCGCACCCCCAAATTCCTGTTCAGAAGGTGCCGGCCATTTGGGCGGAGGGCTGTTGCAGCCCACACCACAATTAACACATCAAGGCGGGTGGGCGATCAGAGGAGAGAGAGCCAGATCCGGTCACAAAGGGGGAACGAGTAATTTGGGAACAGCGGTTGAACAACAAAAGACGATTTGAGGACACCCGTCGCGCCCAGGCGACATTTGTCGTCCGCAAAGTCTGCGATATGTTGATACAGTGTAGACCAGACCGAAAGGCGCCAAAGTGCCGCTGGTTCAAAGCGCACACCCAGGTAACCAATCACCACCGAGGGGCCGGACCAGGGGTGCGGTATGCAAATATCGGGGGCAGTGTTATTCTTGTATTTTGCATATGTCACAATAAAGGTTCGAACTCGAGGAGGGAGGGCTCTGAGCGTGATCACGGAGCAACTAAACCGTCGTTCGCTCTCAGAGATCCGCTTCCGTCGATATTGAAGACAATTTTCCTGTGTGCCGAGTCGTTTCTTTAACCTTGTCCGAGAAAATCTCTGACACAGGGCTATTTTTAATCTCTGTTCACGTTCACCCAAAAAGTGTGTTATGGTGGAGTTGAGTCTCCCACACCAAACTCATCCAAGCATGGCTTTATGGATGGACCCTGTTTTATGTACTGTTATACGGGAACAGGAAAGGGCATACCCCTTGCAAAGTTGGGAGCATACAAAATGCCTCACAGTTGAAGAATTTGAAAACTTTTGTCCTTGTAGTCTATGTCGGCGTTGGCTTACAATGCAACCATTTTCAGACCCTCCTTTACCCTACCATATGATTTTTAAAAAAATGTAAAAGACATAAAACTACGTACCTGAGATTGAATGTCTGGATTCTTAAGACATAAAAATATGTCGCTGGGAATGTTCAAATAGGGAAGCCAAAGTGGTAGAATAATGAAGTGATATTCTGTCATAAACGTGCATTTGTTAGAAAATACAGCCATCATATCCTTGTCATACTAAAAGGAAAGATCTCTGATCTCAGTGAACATGTTGACATGTGATGACTCATTCGTTCTCTAGAGCAAATGTAAAAATGTGATATATGTACATTGAAAGATTTGTGTATAAATGCCAAGATGTCCACATTTTCCTTCATCTTTTCTCTCTATTGTGTCACAGTTGTTGCTTAATCACAGTGGATGAATGTTGTCTCCAATCCGACTTTTTTTTTCTTTTTTTTTTTAAAGACCTACAAGAACTTCTACTTGATTGGATAGATTAAACGGACACGTACTTGATTGGATAGATTAAACGGACACTACCTCTAAATGGGCGTTAGCTCTAAGTTTATAAGCAAAGTGACCAGTAACTTTGTTGGCTGTCAAAATCAATGCGTCACTTTAGACAACAGACACTGAATTGTATTTGGCACTGCGAGTCACTGTTATTCCGCACAATTCCAAGACAGCTGCGTAAATTGAACGCAGAATGAGCACTTGTGCAATCTTGTGGTTTCAGTCGTGGTGAAGATAAATAACAGATCAGGTAGCCTTTCCATTTTAATTCCTTGGTGAGAGCCGCCAGTTTACAGCCGCTGTCGACGCTGCTGAGGTAAGACTCACCCATGCGTTGCTCTGTGCTCGTCTAGTTACGCCTCCCTCTGCTGCCAAGGCCCCCTCTCCTTGTTTCCACTGACTCCCTTGCTCACAACCATTTGAAATAAGGAGAACAAGTTATGGAAACAAGGCTGATCCATGTTGTGATGGTGAATGTTGTAGAATGTGGATATTGTGTCATGATGCTTCCTCACTTAGTGCTAATCCTATGTATGTATGTATGACCTTAAGTTTGATTGTCAATATAAAATCAATGACGTTTTTTCTGCTTACCCATACAGATGTGCAGCTGGACAGGAACGGCTACTCTGTACTTGGCGAAGAAGGGTGCGGCAGCGAAACTGTTAGAGACTCTGCAGCAAACGACATATGTGTTCACTCCAGTGATGAAGACCAGGAAAAAGAAACCGGTCAAGAACAGCAGCAGAATTTCGGGGCTGACGCCGAAGGTCCTACTTCGGCCCAAGACCTCAGCGGCTCCAGACCACTGCTGCTTGACTCTGAGGAGGACGAAGAACACGGAACTCAGCCGAGCTTCCACTCAACACCAGCTTCCTGTGTGGCATCATCCGCCACCGTTGCCCAGAATCATTCCCAACTTGATCCCGAACCAGCCAGCGCAGATGTCTTCTCAAAAGCTCCTTTTTGCCTCACCCAGCAAGGAGCGGGCGACGTGTTCGCCAACGCGCCATTCCCGAGCGGCCCGTTGGCAGCCCAACAGCAGCCGGACGTGTTCTCCCAGGCTCCGTTTGCGAAAAGAAAGGGGGCCGCACTACCTGCGTACCTTCACGGGGCAGCTCTTGTCCCTGAGCAAGGCACACTTGGACAAATTGCACCGCATCCGTTCCGCCCGCAAGAGCTCGCGAAATATTCCCGCCACTTTGAGGGAACGGTCGTCCCGCAGAATGAGGGCTCTTTTCATGTGAGCAATCAAAGTTGTGTTCACACTATTGACCCTTTTGTCTCTGCGCCTTTTCACCTCAAAGCCCCACAGGAAAAGCCAGCGCTGCAGCTGGACTGCAGGACTGCCCCAAAAGTTTTGGGGTGATGATGCAAAGACTCTTAGTGGGGGACACGGTGGCTCTTTGATTCTTCCATTTCACAAACGAGCAGAGAAAAGCATGCATGCATGCGAGGGCTGCAAACTGCAACCATTTCTTGAACCACCCAATCATTTTGTGCCTAAACCTCAGCAGACCTTAACCAGCACTGTCACATGGTATCAAATGCTTATTGTAATGCGTTTGTTAAAAAAAAAAAAAACGCACATTGTTCACATTGGCACAATAACAGCAAGTACTGTACACAATTGTCATTTGGGGTTTTGAGACCGTATGGCACTGCTGCTCCTTTGAAAACCAAAATGTCCAGTTTTGTTACATGTTTACATACCTTTTGTCCCTCCAATCAGCGTTCATTCTTTAAATGACGCAAGTCTCTTGCACTTGGCCATTGATATCAGCAGAGTTGTTGCTTTAATCATCTCAAATTAGTTCCCACTGGAATTCCTGGACTTCCTTTTCCTGTTCAGTCTTTTTGGTACGGCCTTCTGCAAAAGGACAGCAAGGGTGGTCAAGCATGTTTTCTTGCCTACCTCACAATTGCCTCGTTGGTCTTTTTCTTTGAATTCAAGCTGATCATATTTACATCTTTTGTCTCTTTGAGGCAGTTTAAGTCACTGACTCGTCTCTGCTGAAAACGAAACACACTGTTAGTGTCCATTGCATGTGGCATAGTTAAGGACTGTTTGTATACATGTTAGGAATAGACTCCATTGTACGGTATGTACTATTACCCGAACATTGGACATTATTCGATACATAGTAACATGCAATGAATGTGGTTCTTATGTCATTGAAATACTGTATCAAGAGCACTTATTGGTCAGGGATTGGTAAACTCTTCATAAAGATCGGTGGCCTATTAAAGACATTCGTTAAGAACTGTTTGCTTGCTGAGCTCTGTCAAGTCACGGAGCACTTTGGTTTTCATCATGGCACTTTTTTGTAATAGCATCCAAACCGATTGAACCCAAAGTAGAATGAAAATGTTTATGTGTTGTAATCTAAAATGTTCTGTTTTTATTTCTGTTTGAATATAACGCAACTGGAAAGTGTATTTTGGCGCATGTTTGAAGCGCAGGTTTCAACAGCTGACTTATACTGTAAGGACGAAAAAAAGCTTGAAATACAACACAGCCTGTCTTTTGTTGTCAAGAAAACAAATTAAATGAATGTAAATCACACTATACAATGTTATTTTTTTCATGGTGAAATTTTGGATACTGAATTTCAGCTAAACTTGAGAAATCTGACAGTGCAGGATGTAGCAAGTCCCAGAACCATGTAAATATCGCCCCATACTGAAATGTAGCAAAAGATATGAGCAATCTGATTTGCTGTTTCTGGTCGCCAAAGCATGATTGCTATTTGCACTATGTGTATATATAAATTTGTGCTGTCAAGCTACCAAAAAGTTTTATCTCGTTAATCACACCATTTTCCAAAATTAATCACAATTAATTGCATTTTTCTTCTTCTATTGTTTTTAACAAATATTTATCGGAGTAAAATTAATTAATGTAAAATCAATTCAAAGTATGCATACTAAAAGACTATTCAGATTCTTGAATACGATTCTTCTATAAAATACAACTGTTGGGGGGGGGGATTTCAACTGACTCAGCTTTACAGGCATCTTGCTTCAATTCTTCTCATAGAAAGAATTCTCAAAACTTCTGGCTTACATGTTTTGTTCTGCCCATGATTAGCAGGTCCGCTTCACAGTGCAGAGGTGCAGGGTTTGATTCCAGGCCCTGGCCTTCCTGTGTGGCGTTTGCATGTTCTCTCTGTGCCTGGTTGGGTTTTCTCCGGGTAGTCCGGTTTCCTCCCACATTCCGAAAACATGCACCGTAGGTTAATTGAACGCTGTGCGTGCGAATGGTTGTTTGTCTTTGTGTGCCCTGCGATTAGCTGGCAACCAGTTCAGGGTGTACTGTACCCTGCCTACTGAAAATGGATGGATGATATTCCGAAGACATATAACTATATACAGCATTTGAACCTGGCTTTGCAAAGTGTGCAAATTACAAGCAAAACAGAATGTAAAACTACGTATAGTCTTATCTTTGTCCATGTTCGTGCCAGTTAAGATTTGAAAGCCCTTATCCCACTGAGTGGCGAACATTTGCGAATGTAGCGAATATTGCCGTCTCGCTGGGGTTTATTCAAGGTCACAAATGTGCACCAAACCGTCATATGGTTGTTCATATTTGCTTGTGAATGACAGCAATTCAAGGCAGCTCCTTTTATAGCCAATCATGGCACCCATCTGATCTCAGTGTGCCTGTTCACCTGTGGGATCACTGGGATGTTCCAAACAGGTGTTTGATGAACATTCTATTTGCTTAAAAAAAAAAATAAAAAAAAAGTTCAGTGTGTGCCCCGCCTGCTGCCCGAACTCCGCTGGGATAGACTCCAGCACGCCCATGCCCAGCGGATTAGACGATGGATGGATGGAACCATGGATGATTTGTTATTACGTCTAGGTTCTCACTAGGTGGCGGTAGTCACTTGACACCTTGGTTGTTCCCGCATGTAGAAGAAGACATCACCGACTTTGTTGTTTTGATCACACGTTTCTTAATTTCACAAGGTCTGGTTTAAATAGCATGTGAGATTTTTTTTTCATCAAGTTTTTTTTTAAATACAGCAGGACTTTTTAAAGACAAATGTGCTCGATGTTTCGGAACACCGTTTCACGTGCGTGTCTTGCTAGCTTGTGACGCAACATTTTGCTAATCATCGCTTCTTGTTTAGTACAGCACAATACTCTCCGTCGCAATGGATAAATGCGTTTAAGTTCTTGGGAATATTGTAGGTAAAACTTGTATTGCCTTTGCTCGAGCACAATGGCGACCCAGAGAGCGCTTCCTCAGAGCAAAGAAAGTCTGCTACAAAACTACAACAAGAGGCTGAAAGATGACATCAGGTCCATCCTGGACAACTTCACCGAGATCATCAAAACTGCCAAGGTACGTTTGTATTGTGTACAGGTCCGCTTTTCAAGTTTATCGTCCAAGCTACCACTGTGCAAAGTACTCTTGGGCGACCGGAAATTATTAAATTTCGTTTTAATGGTGCACAAAGGATTTGTATATTGCAAATAATGTATCTTAGTTCATCGCCTGCAGTGTCCCCTAACCAAGGCACTCATTTTGGACACCACCAATCCAAAGTCGCTCTAAGAATTTGAATGATTAAATCATGATGATCTCGATATTATCTAATTTATATGAAATTTGGGCCTGTTTAACACGAAGCTGATAGTGATACACCGAGGAAATATGACTTGTTCTGTATAATGCACAGATTTATTTAAGTGTTCTTCCTATCATTATGCGTCGCTTTAATATAAAACAACCTATAATTGTGGAACCACCTGCTGCACCCCTTACCAAGTGTGTGAGACTGTATGGAAAAATCTGACTATACATTTCTGATATACTGTACCATATGCCTGTCAAAGTAATGTTTATTCCTAATGCACTTTAAATATTTCTATGTTCACTGCGCGCCATTCGTGACCACGAAGCAGAATATTTTGGTACCGTCGCAGACAGAGGTCCTCCTGTAATATATGTTGATTTCCAGTCCACGTCCCACTTTTTGGCCCCCGGGCAAACCAGTTGGGAGTCACTGCTCTAAAATGTTGTCATTGTCTTCTCCTTCAGATAGAAGACGAGACGCAGGTTTCCCGAGCAACTCAAGCAGAGCAAGACCATTATGAGATGCATGTACGAGCAGCTAATATTGTAAGTGGGTTGATATCAGTCAGCATTTCTTTAATGTATTCAGGACCCAAACCATTCAGTGATTTGTAGATCCGTAGGAGAATTTTAAAATCTTTTCTACAGCTGATTAGGAGCCAGTGTTAAGCCTTTAGGACTCGAGTGAGGAAGACTGGAATAGAGATTCTAACCCCGAACCTGAACACTGTGAGGTAGACGTGCTTAACCACTGCTGAAACGTGTGCGGGTCCGTCAGGTTCGCGCGGGCGAGTCATTGATGAAGCTGGTGTCGGATCTGAAGCAGTTCCTCATCCTGAATGACTTTCCCTCCGTCAACGACGCCATCAGCCTGCAGAACCAGCAGCTGCGCTCGCTGCAGGAAGAGTGTGACAAGAAGCTGACCTCCCTGCGTGACGAGATCGCCATCGACCTGTACGAACTTGAGGAAGAATATTACTCCTCCAGGTACAAGTAGACTCCGACTCGCCACCCCCCCATCCCACCACTGTCCTGCTCTCCCACCCTCACCATTCTCCACTAAGCCCCAGAAGCCATCACCATCGTCATCATCCTCATCATCCACTTGTAGCTGTGTGTGAGTGGTGGATAGACACTGCGAAGTCTAGTGACATAGCGACCCTCCCTATAAGAATCTCGTGCCTCACATTTTACTGCTCTAGAAGTGAGCATGGTTGATCTTAAAGAAGATAATGAACAGCATATCGGCAGGATAAAATCAGCTCTTCAAATATAAGACAAAAGCATGTTTCTATGTTTGGCGCCTTCTGTTTGCCGACTAGGATGATTGGCGTAGATGAACCATTGAACCACCTTTGAGCCAAAGCACATATTTTACAGAAGGGAAAATCTCACAGTACTCTACCAAAGAGACATGTCGCCAAAAGTATATATACCCAAGTAATTATCTCAGTTTCTCACAAATGTACTTCTTCGGTCTGTCATCTGGGCCTGTTTGGCTGAACACAAATCTATCATTCTGTTGTATGAATGGAAACAGGTCGAAACACCAGGCTATTGTACCTTCTGCGATCCAGTGGAAGCGCATTCAATTGTACTGCTTGACACTATATGAGCAAAGATACATTATTCATAGTAAATTAAGTAGGGATGTCCCGATCATGTTCTTGGAAATAGGGTCCGGTCGTGTCATTTTCAGCTGATTGGAAATGGGGGGCTTCCTTCCACGAGGAAGTGACGCTTTCTCGTGTAGCGTGCATTGTGAGCAGACGTGTTTGTTGTGATTTACGCAAATGTGACTGTTTTTATGTGAAATTATTGTGGTCTTCTGAGGTTGTAGCGTCAAAGTGAGCATTCAGATATGCTCCTCTAAATACAATACTTACTGTTTCTTTGGATCACAAACGCCACACTCAGCATCATTCAAATCCCTTTTCTTCCCCCAGTCTGTGTACTACTTTGTGTATGGCTCACACTGTGTATCGGTTTTTACATTGAGGAAGAATTATATAGGTGCACTCAACTAAGTGTCTGGCATTGGACATGTTATTATTGTTATATATACAGTATATATTAGGTTGTTATTTTAATTCTTATGCGACGCTTGCATCAAATTGTTTTAGATTGGACTGTGTGTTGAATCAACAGTATGTTGTTCATTCAAGGTGAAAATCTAAAGTGACAAGTAGGAGAGACATTTTGTTTTGTAAATGTATTTTCCTCCAAATATTGGTTTCCATCATGTGACTCAAGCTGTTAAAAAAAGTGTCAATCTCACATGGTTGAACATGTGCCAGTTGTGCACAAGGATCATAATGATTAATAAATAGACAGGAAAAAAAAGAATAATTTGTCTTGTTTTTCAACAAGAAAACAATGAGAGATGAGTGTGCGTGTTCTTTTTGGCATCATACTCGGTGTGGACTTGCGTCACTTTCTGCATTTGCTCGGCTTTCCCCCCTCCCTCATCAACTAATCATCTTGACAACCATTGATCAGCGTTGGCTTCAAGTTCTTCAGCGGCTGTTGCCTTCGTCAATATTCCAGTTTCTGGCGCTTGTTGCTTAATCTCCACGCTTGTTTGTGACTGACTGAGCTTTCGTGGGCGTATGAATGTGCTCGTTCTTACTTGGCACTCTTGTCTGCTCCTCTCCTGCTCCGCTGTGCCTCTGCTGCGCTGATTCTTTGCCTCCCGCTGGCCTTCCCCATCTCAAAGCTACAATCAGTGGGACAGTGTCGACCTGCCCTTGTGTGAGGCGTACCGGCGGCGGGATAGTTGGGCCTCCGTGGGTAGCAGCCGCAGCTCCAGCCAAGGGGAGCAAGAGGAGACGGAGGGACCCCTGCAGCAAGACGTCAACTCACAGCACCACCTCAACGGACACGCAGGCGCCGCTTCCATCGAGAAACCGTGAACATGGGGGTACTTTGAATCATCAAATTGTTTACCTGCGGAAGGAACCTTGCTTCTATAGGCTTCATAAAATTGTTGTCATGAAATACATTCCACTGAGTTTACTCTGAATGTGTTCACACAACAAAGATATTTTCCAGTTAGGGCACTTCATTTCTTTACTGTATCAACATTCAAATAGTTGGACATGAAAGTGAGAATCTAGCCATCTTGGGTTTTTCCATTCCCGACGTCATCTAACAAAAGAATAAATCTGCAAATTTCCTTTGTTTACTTGCTATACCGGGCTTGTTTCATTTCTAGTAATATTCATTTGTAACATGTTCTGCTACTCTCCAGCATGATGCTAATAAAAAACAAACGGCAGTGCGATTATGTTGTTTTTAATTCAAAGAAATGCCTGTCATGGCATTTAAAATATGTACATTATTTATAAAGCTTATCGTCAAGGTAGCAGCTTCAGGAGGTCAGAAGAGTCAACCTCAAAAGATGTTTCCTCGACTACCTTGTGGTAATCACCAAGAGCCATTTTTCGTCAGAAACAACTTACATACAAAAGGGGGGAGTGAAATAAATCTTGTCACCCATTACGTAACAATAGTTGTCTCAAAGACGAGGAACTTTGCGTGAACGTATGTGACTGTTCAGTCTGTTGACATTTGCTTTTCATTCCCTTTCCCATCTGTTTAATATACCGGTAGACAGTACACACCTTCGGTTAATTCATGGTGCAGTATAGATATTTTGAGTCTGCCTCAATTTGTAAACACCCATTCGTTTGAATAATTCCATGTCTTTCGACATCAACCTTGTCTTTTCCTCATAATACACTGGCAGCCGTTTTATTTGGCCATTTGGTGGGTAGGAGGCTTCATTTTCAGCAGATGGCGGGCGTCAAAACATTAATATCGTCGATTCATCTTCTTGAACTTCTCATAATGGTAGTCATCAGTAGCCTTTTCGTTATTTGGTCGTTTGCGGAAGTTAGGTGGCTCTGATGCTGTGGAGTGATAAGGTTTAATGAGAAATATGTTGCAAATAGCTGAAAGCGCGGTGGGGGCGGGACACTTACTCTCTGTCCCAGGTTTCTCAGTGTCCCCCACACGCAGCGGTCTTGCTTTGGGTTCCTCTCTCTCTCGTCTGTGGTGGTGCCTCTGAGCTGCATTGGAATCCTCATGATAGACTGCACAATGGAGAAATTGGGAGGATAAGGAGACATTTAACCATTAAAATGTAGTTAGTTAGATGATGTTTATTCCTACAGCGGTTGTGCTGGACATAGTTGACAGCAATGTTGGTAGGCACAAATGATGTTCCATTGTCTTTTTTCTTGTTCCTTTGTTCTGCAAGCAGTTTAGCTTTGGCTTCCTCTGTCTGGATGATGTTCTTTATCTTTGCACTGAACAGAAATGAAATGTTAGTTGTTGTTTTTTTTCCTCAAATGTTTTAGTTCATAATTTTCAGAGTCTACATACTCGATACCAAGGTCGACTTCAGGGATTCCACTCAGCATCTGATTGGACAACATTTCTTCTGTCTTCTTGGCAGAGTTGACACGGATGTTCTCAGGCAGCTCGTACAGGTGGTCCTCTGCATTTTTCACCTTGACTTTTTGTTCCTCTGCTTCTACAAGGCCCTTCTTTCGTCTCAGTTCTGTTTCAATGTATTTCATCCTGACGGGACATATTTATCAAGGTACATGTCATTCTTTTTTGTTGTTTCAAAACAATAACCCCCGCTTTGGATTAACTGAATATGTAACTCTACTCAGCAATTGCTTAAAGACCGTAAGAGTATCAGAAATGACTAATACATACATATCAGCATCTTCGTCTCGTCTGTTTGTCTCAGCTGAAAAGGAGGTACCCAAGTTAAGGTCTGTATCGTCCTCTGTCCTATAAAGACAAACTTGATACATTAAAGACAACGCCAAAGTGTTGAATATGAAAGACAACACGATTACCCGATATTTGGGGTTATTTACATGTCTCGATTGCGATCCTTGACTTTCTTCATGTCCACAACCCCTCCAGTTTTGAGCTTGAACGGGTCATTCTGTAAAATGAATAGATATTATTCACAGGACTGCACAGCAAAAATACAACCGTACAAAGCAAAACGTGCATGGTACAGTATTTAAATACAGTCATCGTGAGGTTTAGGAGAGTACAGTACTCACATCAATCTCAGCCTCAGGTGGCAATTTTTCTCCAACTAGTAAGGCAGTTACGCTGTGAAAACAATCATAGTTATTGGCTTTTTTGTTAACTATATTTAACATTTATTTGTATTTTTTGCTGCATTAGTTGTCATTAAAATACGGTAGGTAGATTTTACCTGACTCCCTTCTGTCGTCGCCGCAAACTCTGTAGCTCTTTGGCCTCTTCTACTTTACATCTAAACGTAAGGAAACCCACAGGAACATTTAAATACACGTTTGATTGGGTCAAACAAATAAATTCACTTTGTGTAGATGTCTGGGACGCAGTTAGCTCTGTCCGCTAGCAAGACGTTAGCTCTGCGCCCCTCTTGTAATATTTAATCTGTTACCTGACTTCCTGAGTGGTTTCATCCTCTTCCACGTCTGAAGAATTTCTTCTCCTTCTAAAGGTTTTGCCAGACGGCATTTTAACATGCGACTTTATAATTGCCCTCACTTCGGACTCGCAGCGTGACGATTGTTATACCGAAAAATAAAAAATATAGGTTCCCAGTCGGAATGATGGGGACAACTCTAAATCGCGCACAACAACAACTCGTCAACCATTTCCGGTCTCTTCGGTTATCAAAACAAACATGGCGACTACATTGCAGGTCGGCAGTTTGCTGGCTAGAGCCGCGAGACTTTTGCGTCCGTAAGTTCTTTACTCCCGTCAAACTGGACATTTTCGTTGTTTTTAGAAATTATTGTAAAACACAAACGGCCTTGGTAGAGTGCCTGAGGTTAGCTGCTGGCTAGTAACCTAATTTCTGTGTGACATGCTGGTTATATGATGTCACCTGCTTCATTGCCGACACATTAAATTTGAGGCCCCCTCTGTTGTAATAAGGCTGCTGTTGAAATCACTACTTTATTTATTGTCAGATTTAGCAAGGCTAAACGCGCACAATTTTTTTAAACATCGAGAGGGAACTTTGATAACTTTGGTCCGTGAACGCAAGAACGTGGTGGTCATGATTAGTTTGTTTATTGTTTGTTTATTAACAAACTCATCATGACCATGATGAGTTTGGTAAAGATAAATATTTTTGTAAATGTCTTATTTATTATTTTGTTTATTGTTATTTGTTGCCTCAAATGTGTCTTTTTCGACAGATGTAGTGATAAATATGAAGCCATGGCAAATAACCCGTCCCACCTCTGTGCTTGTAACGTGTATTAAAAAGACCAGAATAGTTTGCAATAGGAATGAAGTACTGCAGTCAAGCCAGCCTCCACTCTCAATAGTTATTTTCCGAATAAACCAATTTCTTTCTCTTTATTTATACAGTATCTGCAGGCTGGATACCCTGTGGCACCATGCTGCCTCTCACAGGTCAGTCTTTGCACAAAAGCAGATCTCGACTTGATTTTGGGGAGGAGATACCGTTACATGTGTGGTGTGGTGTGCTGCGCTGGATGGGTCACCTCAAATACACCACACACAATAAGAACAGGAAGCATGTGTGGCGATTTTGCTCTCGCATTGTAAAACAGATTTAAGATGTTAACATTTGATATGTTGGTAGCCCAGTTTACACTTTATGTGGAGCGTGCAGAGAAATAAAACAAATGAACATTGTAATGCGTCTGAATAAAATCCGAAATTCATTGACAAGGATATAACGAATCATACACCATACAGTAGTATGATCACTATTACTCATTGCAAGTGAAATGTATCACATTATTTTTACCCTAACAGTGGGTGTTGTCAGACTGACATTGGATTATGTGTAGTGCAGATAATGTGCTATATTTACTGTTATTTTACACTGTGTAACCAATTTACTTTTGTGTTGCTGGCAGTGGATGCCAGAGTGCTGGTTTTCACTGGCTTTCACACAAAACAGTAGTCAAGAGCAGATGGCCTCAGCAATGGGTTCTCCCTGGTCTGTATCTCGACTTTATGGATGTCTATGCTGCTTTTGTTTCAACAGTGACGGTGTTTTATTCATTGTGCAACGCGTCTTCACAGGGAGGAGTATGTTTGTGCAGACACAGGACACGCCAAACCCAAACAGCCTCAAGTTTATGCCCGGACGTATTGTTCTAGAATCAGGAACGATGGATTTTTCCAGCCCTCGTGAAGCATACACCTCACCCTTAGCCAGGTATATAGTTACTCAAGGACAATTTAAGACAGATATTTTGATATCATATGATGTAGTAGGATACAGGACCACATTCACAATATACAATTGGACCTCTACAATCGAATGCAGACAGTTTTGGGGAGCAGGTCAACCTCTGATTCTGTTAAAAAAAAAAAAATTTTAACATTAATAACAGAAATACAAATAATGCCTTCCAGGGTTAAACTGTTGGAATCATTACGCATACAGACATTTATAATTGTCCTATAAGTATGTTTTTTAAGTTAATGAAACAAAGACTTTTTCTATTTAAGTAAAACTAATCAGCGACTTACTGTAGCGCGCACATTGCACATTTTAACATTCGTAACTGTCATACAAATTGTAAAAGAAGTTATCCACTGGTCAAATTCCAAAATTCTACTACTATTGGAGCAGAATGTAGAGATTCCGTTGTAATATTTAGTCATGCCCAGCTTCACCGTGCCACCTAACTGTGTGTTGTTACACAGACGCTTTGGCTACAAATCAACAAATTTCGTGGGTTTCATTTTGCATTAAATCAGATGTTATTTTAAGGATCCACTGGAAATTGTTTTTTGTGTATGTACATGTAAACATTTACTAACTTCTTTCATTGTAAGATATGAAAAAATTAAGCTAAAAAAATTGTTCTGTACTGTCTGTAGACAGCTATTCAGGATTGATGGTGTCAAGAGTGTCTTCCTGGGCCCTGACTTTATCACCATAACCAGGGTACAGCAGACCAACTTGAATGACAAACACAATGAAATCCAGTAGTCTGTAACATATTTTGTCCTCATGTAGGCTGATGAAAATATTGAATGGAAAGTTTTGAAACCTGATGTGTTTGCGGCCATTATGGACTTTTTCACCTCCGGGCTTCCTGTCGTCAATGAGGATGCTAAACCAAGTGAAGACACAGGTGAAATTGAGCCACTATGGCTGACAATATGCATCATGGACTCTTCTTTTGATGGACTTGTACATGACGACTTTTTTTCTCTGAACAGCACCGTCAGATGACGACGACGAAGTAGTTGCAATGATCAAAGAACTGTTGGACACTCGAATCAGGTAGCTGTCTTTATTGTGGTGCTTTTAAGGTATCGACATCCGTCCTTTGGTATCATAGCATTTTTTTTTTCTTTTTTCCGACCTTTTTCTTAGACCCACTGTGCAGGAAGACGGAGGAGATGTTGTGTATCGTGGCTTCGAGGATGGCGTGGTGAAACTGAAGTTACAGGGATCCTGCACCAGTTGTCCCAGCTCTATTGTCACTTTGAAGAATGGAATCCAAAACATGCTACAATTTTATGTCCCTGAAGTTGAATCAGTAGAGCAGGTTGGCACTGATTCCAAAACATCGCAGTTCCGAGAACCCACCCTTCTTAGATTCCAAGGAGAGAATGCTGGATAGTGCTCCCTCTGTGGAATCTCTCATTCTGTTGGGAGGGAATTCAGTGTGCAAGGACTTTGAGACCTGGAAGGGCATTGTTTGGAGGAGCAGATGATGTGGTGCTTTTTTCTTATTCAAGTCGGGGGGGCTAATATTTTTGCAAGGCAATGCATGTGCTATGTACCTGTATTTAACATTAGTAATTACCTCACACAAAAAGAAGACTTCGTGGTTCATAAATATATGCAGCAGTGAATTATATAAAGAATATTAATAAAAACCATTTTCCCCCCCCACAGGTGAAGGATGAGGAGGAGGCTGCTCAAGTTTGACTAACATTCAGCGAGGACAAGCGCACATTCCTCACTGCACTGGCCAATAAGGAGTATCACGTGGCTAGTACTGTATACAGTACCACACAGTGGGAGTACTCATCACCCCTTATGTTAATCCTAAAATCACATGATTCAGATTGTGTACATCAGGGGTGCCAAAGTCTGGTCCTGGAAAGCCTAATAACGATCCTGCTCACTTGAATCTGGTGTGTTGGTGTAGCGACACATCTAAAACAGGCTGGATAGGGTCTCTTGAGGACCGGATTTGGGCACCCCTGGTGTACAGTACAGTATATTCAAAAGTATTTCAACATAGGACAACTATTTTTCAGCTCGATAGCCATTTCATTTATCATCATACAGTAATGAACATGTCCTCACGTTGCTACTCCAAATGGCTTTCTTGTTTAAACGCACAATATTTATATGAATAAAGGTAACCCATCAACATTCTGTCTTTCTGTATGTACTACATTTTGTGAAGAGAGAAATGAAGAATCGTTCCATTTTAAGATATGGTGTGACTATTTTGCGGATTGTAATGTTTCGTTTATGAAGACGGGGGCATTGATTTATTTGGCAAAGGGAATAAAAAAGGCCTGTTGTGCAGTGATGCTGACGTAGAGGCGGAACACGCATCCACATCCGTTTTGCCACGTCACAAAAGCCAACGTGAAAGGCACGGCCTGATTGACAGACCACATTGGCCAATCACAAAAGACGTAAAAGGTGCCTTTCGACTCTGATTTGTCCAAAAAAAAATCTGAAAGGCGGAGGGTATTTGACAGGCGTTTCAAGCTGCCTGAGTGACAGAAACTGGCAGCCGAATAGAAGTCATGTGTGGTGAGTACTGGATGTATTTATGTATTTTACCCATTTAATAGGTAATCTGCGTTTATCAGAAACTGTCGGATGACCGCGACAATCCATTTGACATAAATAATCTTATTCTTCTCGGAGCCTGTTTGAATTAGGCATAGGTGGCTAACCAAGTGCGCTAACTCAATCAGAAACGTAATGCTGTGTGGTCCCTAAAATGTTAAATCAACAATGCTGGATTTGAATTCACCATGTAGCATTTGTTTACAAGATTTGAATGTCAAAACTAAATAATTTAGTGGATGTAAGGACGTAATCACGACATACTGTGGTACCACCTAGCTATCACGTTCGTTGGCTAATTGACGCCGTTCGTAGTGAAGCTACTGTAATTTTAACTTTCAATCTGCCCCTCATTAATTTAAAGTAATTATACAGCCATTTAGTCATTTATGAGCCCGAGTCAACTTTGCCGATCGACTGAACAAAGAAAGCGCAAATGCCGATAACTAGAGACGTGAGGTCGTGTGGAGTGTGGAAATAATCATTCAGCTGGCTGTTTAAGTTTGGGGAATGAAGTTTGGTGTGTCCAATGTCATCGTTACAGATTGTTGTACTTTTTTCCTTGTCACAATGAATGTTCGCTGGTGTTTTAAATGTTTCCCATCAGTGTCACAACAATCTCGGACTCAAATTGACCATTACGATTAGGTGAATTATTAGGTTATAATCGGAAACGACACTGAGTAGCGCATCGTCAAGGATCTCGAAGGGCTGGGCAATATGGCCTTAAAATATAAACATATATCAGAACTCACTCACTCACTCACACTTCCCCTTTGCTTATATATGGAAAAGCAACTTACAATTCTCCTGATACCAATAAGATTTGAAACATTTTTTACAGTAATTCCCTCTCCGAGCTTTAACTTGCATCCATTTTTACAAATTGAGAGAAATGAAATTTTTTCCCTATAGCGATGGAAAAACAGCTTCCTCCTGTAAAAAAATAAAAATCAAATATATGTAAACACTGTCCTGAAAATGAGCAATGAAAAAGTTCAATAATTTTTTAACGTCATAAAACAAGCTGTCAAAATACATAGTTTGATGAGTAGCAGTGCACCTTCTCCAGCTCTCAAGAATTCTCTCATTTACAGTTGTACAGGTAAGGCATGGTGACCTCTGCAAAATATTGTGGCTTGGAAAAAAAAAAAAAAACACCTTTGAAACATTTCCAACATGTCGACAAATCACCATACAGTGGTACATTGACATACACGAGCCCCATCAGCTGACACATTTGAAAGGAAGAGGGGAAATGAAAAGTCACTTTGAAGTGTTGTTTTTCCAGAGAGGAATAAGTGTGGGGTAGTTTTTTTTAAATTATATTGCTGCTTTCATTTTGTATAACGGCATTGAATTGGTTTAGCTCCGCTTCTTCCACCCCCATTTTGAAATGTTTTTTTTTTGTTAGTTGTGTTGTCTGTTGGTATTGTTTTGTATGACTTAAACGTGTGTTCATATTAGAGTGCAAGTGTCCCGTGAGTGTATCTCCTGCTCCTTAAAAAAAAGGAAAAACCCTCACAGCACCTTCGCTTCTGAATGAGAGCCCTGTTAAACTTGGCTGTCCTCTGCGACTGCTTCATAAGTGCTTAGCTGTTTGACCAAGTGTACACAGCGATTACTATCACTGGGCATGTTGGTGAAGTCAAATATTTGCTGAAAGAGTGATCCTCAAGTTAAAAAAAAAAATTGTATGTCTGTGTTTCATTGCAATGCACAAGTAAATATAATTTTCAGATAGCTCTACATTGGAACTTGCAATGTTTAACGTCCTTATGATGAGATTTTTTTTTGACAGTCAGACATATTAAAATGTTATTTCAAACATTGTCTCTACAGTTGATGCACATTATTTTTATGCTGACAGTCTTTTTACTTTCCATGATTTCCTTTGCGATTTAAAAAACCGTTAGTCCGCAAAATGGAGTAGATTGTGTTTGTCACATGAGGTTCTGTGCTTTGTTGCTTCTTTTGTGGGGGGTTTCCCTCCATATTTTGTTTGCTTATAGCTCACACAATACCGACTGTACACACACGGTGCTTCTTGACACATGCCTTTGTCCCAAAACAGGTTACAAAGCACAGTAACACTCACAAGACTGGTTCGTGTACCCTCTAACACGTCAGCAAGCGATATGCTTTTCATTTTTACTGCCAAATATATTGGTGGAAGAATGTTGTGATGTTATGATTGTATAGTCCAACCCATCCAACATTTGTTGCATTTTATCAGTTCCTCTAAGAAATGTAATGGCAGATGAACAAGGAGGGCAATAGTTGGTGACTTTATCAGATGTACAGTATGCTAAAAATAGATGTGTAGAAATATGGACATGCCTCGAACTTCCTGCAAATGGTGAGGCACTTTTGTGAAACTGCACTAAAGGAAGATACCGCCTAGCCTTGCTTAACATCACTGATCAGTGTCATCAATGTTAACGCTATCCTCCCCCCCTGCAGGAATCTTCGCCTATCTTAACTACCATGTACCAAGGACTCGCCGTGAGATCCTTGAAATCCTCCTCAAAGGCCTGCGGCGTCTGGAGTACCGAGGCTATGACTCTGCCGGTGAGTCAGATGAGAAAACGGTTATCAGCAACGTTTGTTTATTCTTGGCTATCTCTTCGCTGTCGACCCAGAGGACAGTTACCTTGATATGACATAGCTGCTGCTATTCGCAGACACCACACGATGAAAACACAATTGTTGTTGTGGATATAGAAAATGAACACACAGTTGTCCTTAGGGTTTGATGTGATGTGGTGATCCCAGCTGACTTGGGGCAAGAGGCAGGGTATGCCGTCGACTTGTCACAAGCCAATCGCATGTAACTCTGAAGTGTTGACAAGTCCCTCCACCTTGACTAAAAACTCACTTCTGAAAAGAACCAAAGTGTGGTACTACCCCACACACACACACACACACACACACACCATCCTTCTGTGCGGTATGGTGTGGTTTTTGTTGTTGTTGTTGTTGTTTTTTGGGTTTGTTTAACACCAGCCTTTTGTTTAAATAAAAAAATTAATCTCCCAAAGGCAAGTCGTTATATGCGTCTCATTGTTCTCTGAAGTTAAGCTTTAACTTTTGTCATCCCAATTTTTTTCTTTCATAATAGTGGCCCCTTCTGGCGAAAACAACAGCCACTGCTGTGCAGTGGAGTTCTACCCCAGTGTGAATAATCGTCTGATTGTTATTAAAAATAAAATCCTCTCCGACGGTGACGATCAAAAATAAATTATTGTGTATATAATGAATCCTCCCCTTTTGTAAATTGAATATCAGTGGACACTCTAGCTGTCTGGACAGGTAGCTTTGCTATTCTAATTGTCTGACTTGTAAATATGAATGTGGCGTGAAATGATCAAGTGTTTTTTGTTGTTTATTTTCAGGTGTGGGCATTGATGGCGGTAACGTAAAGGAGTGGGAAACCAATGCCAAGTCCATCCAGTTGATCAAGCAGCGTGGAAAAGTGAAGGCTCTTGACGAGGAGATCCACAGTAAGCTGAAAGTAGTTTATCACATGACAATGAAAGAACTTCTCCCGAATGGGCCACTGTTTTGATTTTGGGTGTTCGAGTAGTTTTTTTTTTTTTGTTTGTTTTTTATAGAACAGCATGACCTGGATCTGGAGGTGGAGTTGGATGTTCACCTCGGCATTGCTCACACCCGCTGGGCTACCCATGGAGAACCAAGCCCGCTCAATAGTCACCCGCACAGATCAGACAAGACCAATGGTGAGTAATTTGCTCATCATCTAAATAGTGATTTCATTCATCAGATCCTATTATTTTTATCTTGGCTATTTCTACACTGAACAAAAATATGAATGCATTTGTTTTTGTTACAGTGTTTGGTCAGCTAAACCCTAAAGATCGACGAATTTATTTGCACAAAAGACCCATTTCTTTTGGATAGTGTTCAAAATATGTTCATGAGCACTTTTCATTTGTTGGGCGAATCCATTCACCTCACAGGCGTTATCAAGCTGATGATTATACGGCATGATTATTGTACACGTTTGCCATAGTTTGTTCACAACAAAAGGTTGTGCAGTTATAATTTATTTTCCTAGGGCGCATGAGTAAAATGATGGTCATATGAAGTTCTGACTGGTTTTCGGAATATTATGCATTTTTTGTAAAGAGCAACATATTTAGATCTTTGGGTGGAAGCAACAGTATCCATATTTTTATTTAGTATATAGTACCATCCAATATGTCCTTTTTATTGTTATTGTCATACAATTGATCTCTACTTGAATGATTTTAGAGAAAGTAAGTAGAGTGAGTCATTGGGTCACAATGACTCGGGGTTCATTGTTTTTCTTTATGCTCTGCAGAGTTCATTGTTATTCACAATGGCATTATCACAAACTATAAAGATCTGAGGAAGTTCCTGGTGAGCACAACTTTTTCTTCTTCATTCATCGTTATTATCCTCACATATGACCCGGACAGGAATGTGCTCTTTACTCCCACCCCACAGATGAGCAAAGGCTATGAGTTCGAGTCAGAGACCGACACCGAGTCCATTGCCAAGCTGGTGAAGTACATGTACGACAACCGGGAGAATGATGACATCACTTTTGCCACTCTGGTGGAAAGGGTAACACAGCAACTGGTAAGGACACACGCACGCACACACACACACGATTATTGATCATCAAATGAAATGTGGCTCGCTGTACTTTTCAGGAAGGTGCTTTTGCACTGGTCTTTAAGAGTGTTCATTATCCTGCCGAGGCAGTTGTCACAAGGTAAGCTCCCGCTATTTATTCAAACTGTATGTTGGTATTAAAACCTGGTACTCTAGAACAGTGCTTGCCAACCTTTTCTGGTTTGTGAACCCCCCCAAACCTTTTTGTCTTACCATGAGTACCCCCTCACTCATCCGTGTTGATGATTCTCCAAAAGTCGAACGTTGCACAACTGATTATCAAAGGGAAATCATTTTTAATTCATTTCCTTAGTTTCAACAATGAATTCTCAATGTTTTTTAGAACTCAAATGCAACATAAAAATGTATGTTGCTTTGAAAACAAATATACATTTAAATAGAAAGAATCAATGTAAAAAAAATATTTGTAGCTCTTTTGAGTACCGGTAAGTCCCTTTTAAACAGGCATTTAAAGTCTAAATATAGTAGCAAAACACTGAACAAGAATAATATTCACACCCACTAAATTTTTACTTTTGTCCTTATCACTCATCTGAGCTTTTTATGAGACACTCGAGTTGACGCGCCGCTGTTGTGATTTTTGGAGCGGCTTTGCTACAGGTTATTGATCTGGTCCATGAATTATTAAATGTTTCCATGTATACCCTACAATGTGCTCATGTACCCCCGGTTGGAAAACTCTGGTCTTGAAATTCATGTTAGTTCCCCCCACAATTGAAGCTACTTTTTACCTTTGTTATCTACACGTTGCGCGCCAGCAAATTTTCTCCCTGATGTACAGGAGGGGAAGTCCTCTGCTGATCGGCGTGCGAAGTGACCACAAGCTCTCAACAGACCATATTCCCGTTGTCTACCGCTCATGTTAGTCCCATTTCAAGCCATGTTTGTCTCTTAGAATTTCTCAGTTGGATTTAGACCTAGTAGTTACGTTTATTTTTTTCTCAGCTGCCAAAGAGAAGAGCTGCAGTTCCCTCCCCAGAGTCGACCAGGATACCAGCCTGTTCCCTGTGGATGAGAAAGCTGTTGAGTATTACTTTGCCTCTGATGCAAGGTAAGCGCATTCCCGTGTCCTTGCAGCCATCCTTTTCAACTCCAAAGTACCGTCTTGCCACGCTTCCGTGGTGTCATCAGAACAGAAATCAATAAAGTGTTTCTTGTGTTTGTGACCACAGTGCGGTTATAGAGCACACAAATCGGGTGATCTTCCTAGAGGATGATGACGTGGCCGCTGTGACCGAGGGAAGGCTGTCCATCCACAGGATAAAACGCCGTGCCGGGGACTACCCTGCCCGCGCTATCCAGACCCTTCAGATGGAGTTAGAGCAAATCATGAAAGGTGAGTTGAAGGTCCCTAAATTGTTTGGTCCTGCATCAGGTATTGCCTTTCTCTGTACAGTACTTCTATCGTAGGTGCTGGTACAATGCGCGACACGCCATTTTGAAACCTGTTATAGCATACTGTCAAATGATAATTATGATGCTGAATGGAGTGATCGGCCATGAGGCGGTCCATACTGCCATCAAGGATGCCTGTACTGTAATTGAAACTTCTGTTTTGAGATTTTCTGTACCCTGTATGGAGCATGCATCCTACAATTTATTTAAATTTTGGTCTGAGCAGGAAATAGAATTATGAATTACAACAAACTTTTAGTGGTAATGTGTATTTAATGTTTTTTTTTGTTTTGTTTTTGTTTTTTGTTTTTTTTGTTTGTTTTTTGCACATCGGGAACAAAAGTGCCATTGACAGATTAGCATTTTTGAGCAAAGTCTAATGTATCACCGATTCTGTTGACATATCTGCACTCCAGGCTGGTGTCCATTCCCTGGTTGTACCGCTTTTATCCAGCAGAGAGCAGAAATTAGCTGCTGTTGGCTCACTCGCACATTCCTTTGTGGTCCAATCATTTCTCAGCCGCTTCTGGAAGCGATCTGCTGACTAACCTAATTCGCATGACCCAAATTTCTTGCAGGGGAAACTGAAAAACACACATTTCACTGTTGCAGTTTATTAGAGATGGAACAACATCAACTCCCTCTTGTCCCGCCTTTGTTTTTCTTGATGGAAAACGTTTGTTTTACCCGATGTATCAAGCATGTGTTTTAGTGTAACCCCTTAAATTTTCAAGCAAGAACTGTGAAACAATATTTTTACTGCTGCGCTGGAGCTTCATGTTTGTCAACCATACCTTCTAGAGTAAATGGCCATCATTGTTTTTCAGCAGCAGTTTTTAACCGTCTTACGAATGTTTCTTTATCTTACCCTTGCACCACAGGTAATTTCAGCTCCTTCATGCAAAAGGAAATCTTTGAGCAGCCTGAGTCTGTGGTCAACACCATGAGAGGAAGAGTCAACTTTGATGACAATACAGGTTAGATAGCTTGCCTCAGATCTGCATCTTACTGGAGTTCTGATGGATTGATGATCATTGTTCATCCCAACAACTGTAGTCTCATATTTGACAAATAGATATTAACATATATCTGCACATAACTTGAAATGACAACGGTGAACACTCGCTAGTCGCAGGGACGAGACTGAGCCCTCATATGAATAGCAAAATAATGCAAGTATTTGACACCCGACCCCAAGAATGTTTATGTATATGATACTACTTTAAACAATAAATATACCACAAACTATGATTCCAAAACACTTTCATGTATTTTTAAAATTCATTTAACATGTTACTTTTGATAACTAGTATCTTACAAATAGTTGAATTTGGGGGTGGGGTGAGGCGCATGTAGATGCGCTTTTGGCGAATACTGACTCGTAAGTCTAAACTTAGCTCCACTCTCAGTCAAGCTTATCACTTCAACACAGTTCGTTACAGTTCGTCATGAAACATCTTAAGGTGTGCTCAGGCAGAGCACAATAACATTTGCCACAAGCTTGCTGTACAAGCAACACAGTGTATTCAGGGTGTTTTCACAATCACAATTGACACACTTCCCAAAACAAACCGTGCGTTAATTGTTTTCTTCGATTGTAATGTTTTTATGATTGTGAGAAGCCAAAATTAAAGTCACGATTACATTACAATGAATTCTCCAGCCGTAGGTCCTTGACACCAATCTACTACTTTCCTATTAGACAGGGCTTTGGAAACATCTTGTGACATTGATGGGCTTTTTCTAGGGGAAAAAAATGCAAATAGGCGCAGGTAGGTTCCACAGAAATTAAATATATAAAGTAGTCTTTTTGGGTGGGATTTTATGATGTCAAGAGCACAAAAATAAGCGTAAATGCCCAAATAGGTGCATTTTTCTCTTTTAGTGAAAAAAATTGCGAGTCACAAATCAGCAGGGGTTGACTCTAAGGGATTAGAAACCATGTGAAAACATAACACATGAAGAATGACTTCGTGAGTGGCTGACTCCTCTCAGCACTGTCATGGTTGCGTTTTAATGATGTGGAAAGTGGTTAGGCAGGATGATGGATTGGTTGTTTGGTTTGTTCCCAGTGACCTTGGGTGGACTGAAGGACCACATCAAAGAGATCCAGAGATGTCGACGCCTGATCCTTATTGCATGCGGCACCAGCTACCATGCTGGCGTCGCGGTGAGTAGACAGACAATTTTGGTGTAAATTATCACCGTTCAACACGTTGGTTCGGCCTGCTCACAACTAGTTCTGAAATGATGCCTGGTGGTGATTTCATAATTTGTTGCTCCGGCAGACCCGTCAGGTCCTGGAGGAGCTAACAGAGCTGCCTGTGATGGTGGAGCTGGCCAGCGATTTCCTGGACCGGAACACACCCGTCTTCCGAGATGACGTTTGCTTCTTTATTAGCCAGTCAGGTGAGGATTGATCTAGTGCCCAGGCCTTGTTTGTTCACCACTTTCCGTGTCAGGGAGCCAGTCTGTGTATTGCTTAGTAATTTGTTTATCTTCTTTTGTGTGATCTCCATCATGGGGTTTCTTTGAGGTTTGCTTAATTACAGCCTTATACGCATCATTTTCTACCAAACTAACAGTCAGGATGACTTTGTTTTCCCCCTATGTTTCATCCCTCAGGGGAGACTGCTGACAGCCTGATGGCCCTGCGCTACTGCAAGGAAAGAGGGGCTCTGACTGTGGGCATCACTAACACAGTGGGCAGCTCCATCTCCCGGGAGACTGACTGTGGGGTCCACATCAATGCTGGACCTGAGATCGGTGTGGCCAGCACGAAGGTGAGGCAGGAGAACTTTGATACTTTTTTTTTTTTTTTTTTTTTTTTTTAAGACCATGAAGCTTCTTTCAAAATTTACTCTCTAAAGTTACATACAATACAGCCTGTTGCAGGATGGTGCACCTCAGATTTCCAAACAATCTATTGCATAGGAAATAATAAAATAATAGAATGGATTTTTTTTTAAATGATTAAAAGATGTACACTGTACAGACAAGGTTTAAACCTTTCAACATTAACTGTCATACAAGTACGTTAGCCACTACAGTGGACACTACATACTCGCATTTACATTATCAAAAGTCATGTAATATTTTTTAGATTAATTTTGATGTTTTCTCAAAATTGGTTAGTTAAAATGTAGACGTACTTATGTATTTGTTTTTTTTTAAATACTTTAATTGATGTATTGTAAATAAAATAAAATGTAGTAGGACTTTTGTATGCATTTAAAAATATTTTTATTCTTATTTTTTAATAATTGGTTAAATCACAAATTAAATTATTATTATTATTATTATTATTATTAAAGGCATCTATGAATAAGCTGTTCTATCTGTCGAAAGTCCCGCTATTGTCTTCAAATGACATCACACTTCTGGGTTTGTCGCTCGTCAGGATCTCACGTTGGGAAAACGATTACAGTACTTTGTCGAATTTAAGAAATTGAAATTCTTTTTGTCACACTTTATTCAATGTGCTTTGTTTAGTTACTTGTGAGATAAAAATATTTCATTTGGGATTTTCTAAAATTACTTCATAGTTGACCTTTAACATGTACCCAAAGAAAACAAGCACCACCCACTTGGGACGTGGGTGGTGCTGCTCCAGAGCCTGCGAGCACGCCTCAGAGACGCCATCATTTACTGCTTGGCTGCCTGGGCAGAACACCCGGCCCAAACGGTGCCGCGCAACCTAGCTCCCCAAATTACTGGAGAACATGTGTCACATCCCACTGCTGCAATTTAGCACACTATAATGTGATGTGCTGTATGCACAATTCATAAAAATGAGATGCGACATTTTAAAATGAGCATCTTAAACGTTTTTTGTCATGGATTTTAATTGCTGAATGCTGAGACCTAATGAAGTTTGTCAGGTCAGCTGCAGAGAAGCATAGTCATCATTCTTAGATACAGTTCACTCTGTTCCACATGAATCACACTGTGTACCCCAGTTGATCACATTTTTGGGCAGCACATTCAGTCAGAAGTCTGAGGGACAGTAGTTTAAAAAAAACAACAACAAAAAAACAAAGGCTTTTCCTATTATTTTATTGGCAGCGAGCGGGTCTTATGTTATGAACTGGCTTCAGGTGGACATTGTCTTTCTCAAATGGGCACCGAAGGCCTCTTTATGCGGCGAGTTGAAGGAACAATCAGCACATCGCTGATGACAGCAGGCGTCAGTCAGTGTGCTGAAGACTATTGTGACACGCTGCTCCGTATCCCCACGTTTCAAGCATTTGTTCCAGGATGAGCGCCGGTTTCGACTGAGCTCCACATTTGCCTGCACTCACCTCGCCTCGCATGTCTCATCTGTTGTGCATTATTAGATGGAGACAGAATTCATTATCAGAATGGCAGAAAAGAGATCATAGTCTCAAAAACGTTGCTTTCAATGGGATCGTATTCCTTTTTGGGTGTAATTTTTTTAGGGATTTCAAAACCGATGTCACGCAAAACAGTCGGAGATCTTTGCTCCTGAATGTCATTGGTCCCAACCGCTTGTTTTATGCGTCTGTAGAAACCAAAGGCTGCACTCAAAACTTTATTACATCTTTTTTTTTTCTTTCATGTGCGCAGGCCTACACAAGCCAGTTTGTGGCCCTGGTCATGTTTGCTCTGATGATGTGCGCCGACAGGATTTCCATGCAGCCAAGACGCCGTGAGATCATCCAGGGCTTGAAGGTGCTTCCGGGTAAGTCAAAGGTGCTGCTATGCTGACATGTCCTGATTACAACACACTGGAAACTTCATTTGGTTCACCGGATTCATCCCAAATTTAATAAGCGTAACAAGAACTTATCATCAACAGGTGCGTATGAAAGTCAAGTTTTATTGTTTGTAAAATTTGACAATTTTCACTGGAGCAACACCCTCAATCCCAGCGTTTTACTGGATTTTGACTGATCTTGCAAGGCCCACAGAATATTTGGTTCTAATGCTATATAAACATGGAGCCTACCAAAATAAAGTTTGGACTCTTCTTTCAGCAGAAAAAAAAAATTGTTTCCATCTTTTTCCATTCTTCAGCAATCGGCATTACAAAATGGCTAAGTTTCATGGAAATGGCGATTCCTGGGCAAAAAACGGAGAAAAAGAGCTTTTTGTAAAAGTATGCATTTCAATCACGTGAGGCACCACTGCCACCTACTGGTCACTTTTTTTACATGATTTACGATGCAAACGGCTTATTCTCATTGACAGATTGCATCAGACCCTCCTCTATGACGCAAAAAAAAAAACTTCGACGTACAAGTACGTCCTTGGTAGGCGGGGCCTAATTTTAAAAAGACGTACAAGTACGTCTTGTGGAATGAAAGAGTTAATAGCAATTATCTTGAAAACTACCAAGTCTCGCTCAATGAAATTGAACAGTTTAGGTGTTGACCATCATTAATTCTGGAACTGATTTCATAAGTGTTAACTGTTTGAAATATGCCCTCAAAGTTCAGGTTCCATGTATCTACACAATCAGTCCGATCCAAATGTCCTTCATGAATATTCAAATGTTGAGATGTGACCGACCACCGAGTGATACAAGCTTTTCAATATGTAGAAGCGCACCGCATCATGATCTCCTGAGAGGGGTTTTGCTAGCCTAATTTTATAAACGTGAGAAAGAGAAAACTAGACACAGTACTCTGTAGGATGCACTGCGGTTGTACAACCACTGTAACGGACTTTGTACAACCGCAGTGTTATAGGAATACCTCTAACTTTTTGATCCAGCGTTTATGTCGGAACATTTAAACAATGTGTAGCTGTCCGTAATTTTGTGGCCGCCGAGTTTATAGAACCAGCCAGGCAACTTTTTGTCCACATTTCAAGCAATGCCTTAAAGTCTGATTCATTTTCTGCAACTCTAAATAATGACAATGAGGATCATGAAGAGAAAGAGGGAGGGTGCGGGTCTTCACTCGCATGCCTTTTTGAATTCGAAGCAGATGATGGCGTGTCCTGAACGGTAAAGTTACCAGCATAAGACTGCCTGGCCACTCTGCCGCTCATTGTCAACATTCCGATCTGACACTTCACACGTGCCTTTTGCACAGCATGTTTCTAAAGTTTTCAAATCCAAATTTGTGTCCCTCCCATGTGTATCAGACCTGATCAAGGAGGTTCTTGGTTTGGATGATGAGATCCAGAAGCTGGCGACAGAGTTGTACCAGCAGAAGAGCGTACTGATCATGGGTAGAGGTTACCATTATGCTACCTCCTTGGAAGGAGCCCTGGTGAGAAAACAAACGTCCTTTCCTGACTGGCTTCATATCATTACCTTTCTTTTGTTTTGTTTTTATTTTTCTCTTCACTTATGAGCTCTTTCAATGTGTAACGTGTCCAATGTCTCTGGAGGAGTACCTGTACATGGAAAATGTCACTCCTTTCAGCTCCTGCCAAAATATGCTTTTGTATTTGCCGAAAGGACCAACAGCGCATTTTATTCCTTTCGGAGTAATGAAGTTCTTAGTCTATGACGTAAGTGTTGGAAGTTTTGAACTTTGGTGATGTCCTACCCAGAAAATCAAGGAGATCACATACATGCACTCTGAGGGCATCCTGGCTGGGGAGTTGAAGCACGGCCCTCTGGCGCTTGTGGACAATCTCATGCCAGTCATCATGATCATCATGAAGGACCACACGTACGTCAAATGTCAGAACGCCCTGCAGCAAGTCGTTGCCCGCCAGGTAGGACAGACTGTAACAATCGGTGAATCCCCCTCCCAAAAACACACACACACACAAAATGTAATGCTGTCCTTTAATGGTTAAGGCCCCTCCCATTTTTGTCAACAATCCTTTGTACTTTACTGGCAGTGAGTTTGCCGTACAGGACAACTACTTCATAAAAGCTGAATTTTTTTCAAAACCAGAACTTATCAGAGTTTGCCAATGTCCCTAACTATGCATGATGTCCACTTTACTCTCAGCACTTTTCTTGTTTTTTTTCATTGTTTGGGATTTTTGGATGGAAAACATGCACCTCATATTGCTTTTTGGACAAATGGGATAAATAAAATTCTGTGGCCTGTATCTCACCTCTTGTTGTAACATGACGACATCTCTGTTGGACAACTGGAGCACATTATGTTATCAGAGGTGTGACAGTGATGGAACAATTTTTAATTCAGTTTTACGAGATGTTTTTTTTTTCCCCCCCCTTCTGCTTTGACAGGGCCGCCCAATCGTGATCTGCGACAGAGACGATTACGAGAGCATCAGCAACTCGTGCCGCACCATCAAAGTGCCTCACTGCGTTGACTGCCTGCAGGGCATCCTGAGCGTCATCCCCCTGCAGCTGCTCTCTTTCCATCTGGCCGTGCTCCGAGGCTTTGACGTAAGTGCTTTAGACTCGCCCGCGCCAACATCTGCAAAGTGTTTTCGCCTCGACGCAGCCACCGACCACAACCGTGTCATTCTTTGATATCACTTTGGACCGCAGACACGATCGGACAAGTACAGGTGACTCTCCAGCAAAGGAACACTGATTTACATTTATAAACATTCAAGATCTTGACAATATTAATGACAGTCGACACTCAGAAGTTGGTCAAGTGACTGGCTAATAGTTTGAATAAATGTCCATCCGTTCATTCATCCATCCATTTTCTGATCCGCTTTATCCTGAACAGGGACTGTTTAGTAAATGCTGGGTCCCATTATTAGGTCCAGGGGGCAATTACTTTTTTACGTAGGGACAAATAGGTTTGGATTTTTTAGTTTTTTTTCTTTGCTGCCTCAATAAAATACATTCACATTTAGTAGTTCTTTGGGTTGTCTCTGTGTGATATTAAAAATTGGTTTGATGAATTGAAATCTTTGTGTGTGATAAATATGCAAAGAACACAGAAATCAGGAAGATGGAAAATACGTTTTCATGGCACTGTAAGTCCCATTAATGTTGGTAGTAGTTTTGAAATGATTTATCTTGGACCCTTTTTTTTTTTTTTAATTTTTTTTTTATGTATACATGTCACTCAAACCTATTATTTGACCAGGGGGGTGTCGACTTTTTATGTGCACCACACCTGGCACATAACTACTGTGTACTTGTTACTTAGTGCATCTTTTGGTAAACGTTTTCATGGAGAAAGATGGACCTCAGAGCCAAGGCTCCACCTTACAGCACAGTGACAGAAAGTTGAATTGCAGTCAGTATTTATCACAGAACGATTGAACTGCTGATTTTAACAGTATAGATACAGCCAGTCTTGCTGCATGTGAATCACAAAGATGAAAGTTAGTGAATTCAAAACTCTTGAGTTGTCTTTATGAGAGTTATAAACTAAAAATGTGAAATGCTTAAGATGAAACTGGACTGCGCTGTGTACTCTTAGGTGGACTGTCCACGGAACCTGGCCAAGTCAGTGACGGTGGAGTGAAAGGGCCCACTCGTCACCTGCCCTACGGCAAGGGAAAGAAGAGCAACATGTCCGGTTCCATTCGTCCTCTTTTATCCATTTTACTCATATCTGGCTGCTTCATCTCTCTGTATCTCTTCTTAGTGTTGTTGTAGACTGGTGGTGGTCTGGGCTGGCACTCGCGTTATCCTCCTTGCTCCAACTCTTGTGTGCTAATAGCATCGAGAAGGAGCTTCTTCGTTCCGATTAATGCAGCAAAGCAGTGAGATGAGTTCGTTTTACTGAGAGCATCTTGGATGCGACGTTACTGACCAATGAAACTTTGAACATTTTGCCTTTTTTTTTTCTTCCAAGTGCTTTCATTAGCAATTTAGTTGGTGTCTTTCTTTCTATTTGGCAGCAAATATTTGAAATGTGAAATTATTTCGGAGCACAGTCATCGATGCTGTTGAATTTATGTGCACACCTCTTCTTCATGGTCAAATGGTCTTGTTACGTTCTTTATTTATACTCTTTTTTTTTTTTTAATATATGTATAAATTACACAATTGTCACAATTTTTTGTTGATTGATTCTTGTTCATGCACAAGAACAAGACTTGATTCTGTACTTTATTTCGTACTACACGATGAAGTGATATCAGTGAGATGAAGTTACTGCCAGCCCACACCATTCCATCTTGACTACTGCTAATGCAATATTGGGACCATTTGTAGCGAGTGATTTTATATATATTTTTTTCATTTTCTTATGAGAAATCAAGAGTTTTGTATTTTTACCCTATGATTTGAAATGTAAACGTTAGTCTTTTGTCGAGGGGGAAAAAAAAAGTCCTGTAAAACCAAACACGCTTTGGGAAGTTAGAAACCAAAATGTGTATTTGATATGCATATGATAGGATGAATTTCTTTTTGTTTTTGTTTTTTTGTTTTTTTTTGTAGCCATATGTAAGATGCTTCAAGGCCTTAGATGGCTCACACACACTGTCACTGCTATGGCATCATGTCACACTGTAGAGGTATTAGACGCTGACAAGGAGAGAGAATGCTGTAATTCATACCCGTTAGTGAAGGAACAGGAGCTGCTATTGTTACCATTTTTACTTCCGTTTGCTTTCGACATTCATCTCGCTTCAGCAATCAAGCCTTAATCTTAATTTGTGCATGTAATCTGAACATTGTATGCCAGGTTTGAAGCCCATCTTATTACTGAGCAAAATTATTCTTTCAAGTAACCGACGTTGCCAATATTAGTGGGACACTATTGCGCATCCCAGGCTGGGATTCCCAGCTGATGTTATTAAAAAAAAAAAAAAAAGTCCATTTGTTGTCTTTGTGAGGTCATGTGTTTAGAAGAAATACCGGCAATGGATACTTCACAGATTTATTCCAATAAAGACTTTTTGGATGGATAAGCTTGTTCACATCTTTGAGTAGTGAATAACAAGTTAAATTCTTGCCTAGTAAAGGAAGGTAACAAATTGCCATTTTAAATACATGAAACATTTTCAGTATGTGCCACTGTCGTTACCTTTGCAAAAAAAAAAAAGAATTGTCCCGAATTGTGATAAATACGTAAAGTCATATATGCGGTTCCAAGAAAACGTATGTGATGCCTTTGGAATGACCTGGATTTCTGCATAAACTGGTCATAAAATGTTTTCTGATCTTCATCTAAGTCACAACAATAGACAAACAGTTAGCTTGAACTAATACCACACCAATTATGTTCTTGTTTTTTTTTTTAATTGAACATCATTAGTTACATTTGCTAGAATTAACATGAAAAATACAAAGAAATTATTAGACTAATAAAATAAGTTATATAACATACGCAAAACTTTTATTTAAACTCATTTATGGAAAAAAAAAATCACATGTCCTTCAGCACAAGCGTTTGCCCCACCACTGAGGGCTAAACAAGCTTCACTGTGTTGCCAATTGATTGTTATTATTTGTTGGATATTGTGTGGACTGTAACAACTTTCTGGACTTGGGGATAAGCATGGACAATAGGCCAAAGTCACTCATCTCGGTGCTGAATACACCAATAGAGCCAAATGATGACCTAATCCCCAATGAGCTCATGTATACTATGAGCCTGCCAAGACTCCAGTGAGTGTTAAACAAAGTACATCTTTTTGAAAAGGGGGTGGTTTTTTTTTTCTCCAAAAATACAGTACGGGGAAACATTGATTGAGTATCGGTGCATTACAGAAGGCCGTATATGTCAGCATCAAAGAGGAACTCCGTTTTAAGGGGTGAAAACTCATAAGGGCCGCAGATGTTTTCAGGCGGCCCAAAAGAGGTCACCGATGAGGTCAGTGAAAGGGGTCTGATGAGGTTGATATGATGTAGTCTTCACAAGCGCCACATTTCAAACAGCATCGACACCTCAGACGCGTTAGATCAACTCTGGCCCAAAACCTACATGTTGTTCATCTTCCTTACAGGTAGCAGAAATAGTAGACTACTCCACACCCAAAAAAATAAATAAAATGCTGGGTACTTTTCCTAATCCACTCACTGGGTATCTGTGGATTATGAGCAATTGAAACTTGGATTTGGGTGGGCTAATGTGTTTAACCCTTTCAGGGACAGCGGTTACTACAGTGGACAGTTTATGGCGTTATCAGGTTACACGGTGCATGAAAGGGTTAAGGTCACCATTTTGGACCACCATTTTGGACAATTTTGTCTACTGGAATTGAAGGAAATTTAATGTAACAGTCTGAGAAAACATTGGTGATGGCTGACACTGCTGTCTTTGGACAGGGGGCTCAGGGTTCAAATCCCAGTCAGGGTGGATGTCCCACCTTTAGGAAATGGGTGGGATGCTTCAGAAAGGGCATCCAGTGTAAAAACTGTGCCAAACATATGCAAATTTTGACTTACTGTGGCAACCCCGACGGGGGAAAGTTGCCTCTGCTTCTTTGTAAATGTTGGTATTAAAAGTTATATTCTTTTTAACACACACAAAAAATCAACAACAACAACAAAATATAGTTAGATTAGAAAATTAGGTTTTGGTTTAAAACGTGAGCGCATTGAATTAAGGGGTTAATCACAGCTATACTGATAACGTGGTGTAACACATTTCTTGGCAGCTTTAACTCATCAGTATGGGTAGTTACTACCCCTCTTTGGATCAAAATCTTGATCCGACAGGTTGGGTCAAAATCCTCAAATAAATAACCCACCACTGGCATGGTACTTTTTGGACCGGCTTTTGACCCAGTCGTTTAAAGAGGGCATAGCATTGTACTTAAATGTAAGCACCGATTCAACTTCTTCACTTAAGTCAAAATAAAAGACAAAAAAGAAATGTAATGAAATATTTGGACTCGGTGACCTGCCACAAACATGTCTGCAGCGATTCATTGCAGCCGCTCGTGGAGTCACCCACAAAGCCTCATGTGACTTTCTTCATGTGAGAGGTGGCCTTAGCTCTTCATCGCACTCCCCCCCCCCCAAAACCCCGCCAGGAGTCATTAGCACCATTTCGCCTTTCCTAAGACCCGTCCATATTTCCAGAAGATTAGTCGGACTCCGTTATTTTCCGTGATGGCTCACGCACATGTGTGCATAATGCAGCGTGTGAACATCTGGAGCTGCTTAGCCATAATGGAAGTTAGATTTTTTTTTTCCTCCCCCACTTCACAGTCTCCACTGCTGCCCTGCCGAGTGACAGTGTGTGAACCTAGTGATCCGAGTCACTGTGCACGCAACTAGCTCAGTAATCAATAGTGAGTTTTGTCACAGCCATTAATAGTTCACTAGAATGGAAGCCATATGAAAGTAAAAACATAGAGGGTAAAAATAAAAAAATAAAAGATTGGGATCAAGAATGGACATTGCAAAAATTACGAGAAAAGAAAAAAAAAAACATCCAGAAATGCAAAATTAATTTAACGTATGAAAAGGTTTACTGTACTTTGCTTTTGAAAGAAACACCCGTCCATCATGTCATTTTTCATTCTTACAGGACATTTATATTGACAACCCACTGTAACATTCTGGCACCATTATTGTAAATTTTTTAAAAAATCTGAAATGTAGTCTTCGAAAGGGACTATTAGGCTCAAAGTTTGAGAACCCCCTGATCTATAACAGTGTGAGCTGTTTACATCAGAACAGCCGTTTTACAGTCACGTGACGCACACATCATTGGTAAACATGATGTCATTTATCAATGCTGGAGTTCATCTATTAGCACAATAGGAGTGATTGTTTTAACACTTTTATTAAAACAACAGCTTCATACAAACAAGTTACCGGTACGAGTAGTATAAAACAAGTTCTCCAATCGCAGACATGCTCTAGTCGGACGCGCCCATTTTCAAGTGCGTAAACGACAATACGGAATCTGGTTTACCAAGGAATAAGAACTGTACAAAGATTATGACATACAATTTTTCAACTGACTCTAATATTTGCAGAGGTGTCATAATGTGAGTGTGAATGGTTATTCGTGCCCAGCGATTGTCTCCCCTTAGAAAAATACAAATTCTCTTCTTTTCTATTTCTTCCAATGAAACGAGCCAAACAGTCCAGCATACGAGGCAGTCCAATGCCCACCTAAGACCGCCACTCCGCCAAAGTCTACTGGCATAGACTCCAACTCACCCTTGACCCCAAGAAGTACAAACGCTATTGAAAATGGATCGATGAAACTGCTCAGGTTTCATTGATATCAAAACGCAAGGCTGTGTCGGATTCTCCATGATGCAGTTGGAGTCATTTTATCGTTATAGGATCGTGCTCCCATGTGCGAGTCTATCATCTCTCAGCTGGACAGGGAGTGGACACTTAAATCTCTCTGCGGGAGAATGAATATGATTCAATGTCAGTGATTCAAGCATCCGTTGGGCTAGTTGTGTCCAAAAGTCAGTGTAGACAAATAGCGGAAAGCAGCTCCTCGTTGTCCTCTGCACAAGGCAGGTGGGCCACAGCCTGCTGGGCTTTGCTCTCCTGCAGACACAATCAAACATGGTCACGAATTCTTGCTGGGATTCTCACTTTCCCAGCTACAGGCCGGGGCGTGGCGGCGGGCGGGCCGGCGGCGGGGCTCGTCCCGGGGCGGGGCCTTGAGGTAGCGGGGGCAAGGTGCCGGAGGGCGAGAGGGGCGGCGGCGGGGTGAGCGGCAGCTCGGGCGCGGCGAGCGTGTGCAAGGAGGTGGGAGGGAGGGCCCGTTTGGGAGGCGGGGTGTAATAAGGAGGAGTGGATGGAGGGGAGGGGGATGCGTCGGAGGGCGTCGAAGGCACGAAGGGCAGGGTAGTGGAGAACAGGGGCGACGACGGTGGGCCGCAGGGGGTTGGCGGGAGAGTGCCCTGTGGTGCAGGTGGACTCCTGCTGGGAGGGGTGTAGATGGGCGGCGGGTTATAGTGGGGGTAGCGAGGAGTGGCCGACTTTGTTCGAATGAGGTTCATGCATCGGCCCTGAAATGACAAAGCGGACCAGATGTTACTTTTTACGGTGCAGCTCAGTGACTTTTAGTGTCTATTCAACAGGCCTATAAAAACAGAAAAGTTCAATTCTTTTTTTTTTTTTATTTGAGTAAATGAGTTGAATATGTACTTCTATTTGACTACTGACTACTTGGAGCACTCGTTTTCACAGCATATTATTAATGTTTGTGAAGATCAAAAAGGAAGGGACTGTCATTGTTTTGGAGTGCATCAGTGCAAGAGTTTGCGCACGTGTCCAAAGCTCAGCTTGGAGCAGGCTCAATGATTCTCATATCGCTGGAAAATGCAGGACTGTAGTCCAATTCAAACACGATTGACTGCTTCGCTTTCAAAATGCTCACGAGAAACCACCCTGCAGGAAAGGCCAACGAGGTCATGTACATTAGCTTTTTGTTTAACCATTTGATCGAAAAATGCAAATACTTTAACTCATTGAATACCACCCCTTTTCACTGGAGCAACCCGCTCAATCCCTCATATTTTACTGAATTTTGACTGATTTGCAAGGCCCACGGAATTTTCTGTTCTATGGCTATATATACATGCAACCTGTCAAAAGAAAGGTGAGACTCTCTTCTTTCAGCAGAAAAAAAAAGTTTGTTTCTATCTTTCTCCGTTCGTTGGCAATCAGCATTAGAAAACTGCTAAGTTTTATGGAAAAGGCCGATTTTCTGCAGAAATCCAGAGAAAATGAGCTAGGTCATGTACATTAGCTTTTTGTTTAACCATTTGATCGAAAAATGCAAATACTGTAATAGCGATTAATCACAGAAAATGGATTCTTTTTTTTTTACAAAATAATAATTGCTTGACAACACTAGTAAAAACCTTTTCATCTTTTACTGTAAATCAACTCAGCATATAAATCTTTCCCTCCATTTAAGTGAATGCTTATAAAGCGCTAGCATATCATTTAAATATCATATTTAAAATCACTAATTCGGATGCTATGAGAAAGTAACAGTGATTTTAGCTTGGCTTCATCCGTTCACGATATCATCAAAAGTCATTGTGTCACGGTTGATTTGTTTGGGACCAACAGGTGGCTCTGTCGGGCTCCTCCTACAGCGGCACACCTGTTCGTCATCATGTCATTAGTCAGTTTTCTGTCAAAAGGACTCCCGGCCCCACCGCTTGTGTTTTATTGTTCTTGTTCCTGATTGTAAAGTCATTGGGTGTTTTGAAAGGCGCTTACAAATAAAATGTATTATTATTATAGTATCGGGTTATTGTTTCTGTTGTTCCTTTCTGTTGTTCCTTTCTGTTGTTGCTGTCACTGCTTTTGTTCGTGTTTGTGCCTTCCCTGCTATGGATTTTTTATTTTTTTTTGTATTGCTTTCACTTTGTTTTTGCGTCTGCCATGGGTTTTGGTTTGTTACTTTGGATCCTTGTTGTTTTCAGGAGTTTGTTCTGAATTTAGTTTTATCAGTGTTTTAATACAGTTTATCAAGTTCACCCTGCTCCCTCCTCCCCCCGGCCTGCCTTTTGGGGTCCTCCACCGCACCATTCGTGACACATTGGAAGTCAAAAGGTAGGACAAATTGTCCTCGTCCTCGTTTGTAATTCATTTTTACGTGTGCACTTTTTATTTTAACCCTTTCAGGGACAGTGGATGGCTTATTATGTTATCAGGTGACAGGGTGCATGAAAGGGTTAATCATACTGTGAAGTCTTGGCTGGGTGAAATCACACCCGATAGCGTTAGTGAAGATATACGTATAAGGAGTTTGCTTTTGGTTTCTAAAGTGTTTTTTTTTTTTGTTGTTGTTTTTTTTTCTTACATGTTGGCTGAATAGAATGGGTTTTCCTCTTCAGGGCAACATATATCTTGTGTGTGTTGCATTTAATGGTGTGTTGACGAGAAGCAGAAACCTGCTTTCAATTACAGTACCTTGGTTTATTTGTCTCCTTGAGTGTGTACAATTTCCTGCCAACACTTCTTGATTTAGCCAGGATTCATTTGATAGGAAGAACCGTTTCCAATGATATTTCCACTAAATTACCATTCCGTACATTGATGAGACAGTGACAATCATATCTCAATTCAAATGGAATGTGTATGGAGGGTCAATAGTTGAAAAGTGCATCAAGTTTAAAGGCGATCCGAGCCAGTATTCTAACTCCACTTTTTCCGTCCATGTGAATGTTTAAGCCTTGGTGGAGGTCTGTGTTCTCTGGGTACTCGTGTTGTTTACACAACAACGGCAAATCTGTCTTTAAGTGTGCTAACAAACTAAAAAAAATGTGGCACGCGAAGTTGGAAACAAATGGGCAATTTCTTCTCCCCATGAGAAGAGACAAAGTATGAAATGTACACAACTCGATACAAAAAACACACACACAGTTGATCTTTTCAGGCCCGGTAGGAGACGTCGTGTTACAGGAACCTGACATTGCATTTGTCATGGATGGATCTTGTTAGTCCCACCGCGGCATTCATTTAGGCCAAGTTATAAAAGAGAGGATCCTAATTGCAACCAGAGCAGCCTGTTTACTGCAAGTCCTCAAGGAGGCTTTATTCTTTTTATTTTTTTTCAGTGCCCCCGAAGAACGCTTTACAGGAGAGACTCACTTAAGCTCATGAAGTTGGCTGTTGGTTTCATTCAACCAAAAGTTCCTGAGGTTGTACAATTTGGTATTCCACAAATATTTCAAACAGAAATGATCAATTTGAAACACTTCATACATGTCATATGAGACAGTAGCATACTTAGCAAGACCTTATTTTAGAAAGCATCAACAGATTGTTTTGTTTTTTGGGGGACAGACCCGTGCAAATGGTTGTAAAGTGGCGTATTCGAAAAAGGGCATTTTGTGCCATTGCGGGCGTGAACACAGCCACTTTGATTCGCAGCTAATTGATTTGCTTGTGTCATGCGGCAGGTTCAGTGCAGAGATCATCTAATAGTTAGATGTGGTTCCAGAAGGCGTCAAGGTTAGTCTACTCTTAGCCACCAAACTCTGGCACATGTCAAAGGAAGCACCCTCGGTATGCCGGAATGCCCAGCGTAGCGCAGAAAGATGAACCAAATCCACAAGCTAGCGCATTGAGGCTTGCGTTAGCATGAAAAACAGCCAGTTTTCACGGTTGATCGGAGCTGCGCTATCGATGGATATGGACCCCCAAAGAGTTGTTTGCCGTATACCATTTAACATACATTTAAAGTTTATACTATTAACACAGGCAGTGAAGCAATTTTGAGGGTGGAGTCTTTTCTTACAAATGTTCACTCGTCACGGCAAGTCTTGGTCCCTAAATCCTGCAAAGAGTAACAACTTACTCCAAATTTATAGAAGTAATCAAATCCAAGGGCTTGTGTGGGTGTGAGTGTTTTTTTTTACATCAAATCCAAGGGCTTGTGTGGGTGTGGGTGTTTTTTTTAATATCTATACTTGGAAAAAAATGACAAATACAATTAAAGTGGAACTTTGCTGGGGAAAAAAACTTGACACCTCTATAAGTTAATGTTCAACACCTGTTTGCATTTTTTTTTTCTTGATGACCTCAGTCAGTGGATTTGAGGAGTGTGTGTGTGTGTGTGTGTGTGTGTGTGTGTGTGTGTGTGTGTGTGTGTGTAAGATCTTACTTTGAAACACACTGTACTGCCCCATATGTCTTACAGGCACTCAAATTTTCAAGCTCTCTGAATAAAGTGTTCAAAATCAAATTATGACAGGATTGCCCAATGTAGTAGTCAACAATCTTCCACATAAGCACTTGGACAAAATGTTACCAACAGATCTTCGACATAACAGATTAATCAAATGATTTTATGATAAGTGGAATGTTGGAGTTGGTTGCATAATTTGGCCTCTTCTAGGAATTGCCATCGTACGTTGACTTTGCTCAACGACATCTGCACACATGGATGTGATCATTTCAAGGATGTTGTTTTCATGTAATATTTTCAAATAGGCAGAGATGAGCACTTTAGCCGATTTTGTCAGTCAGTCCCCCGTCTGCGACCTGGGTACCTTTCTGTCATCATCCCTCCATCCTTATTCATATAATAATCGTCATCCATTGAAAGCGCTTCCGTCCCAGTCCATTTCCACCCTTGTTAGTGAAACGGGTGTCTGTAGGCACTTTATGTTCTCTGACCTTACAATAGGTGGTAGCGTTGCTATAAGAATTCTATTCAGATGCAATAGCCTGTTAAGAAAATCCAGTGTTTGGCTACACTCTAGCCTTATTTTGCCTCCTGACACCACATACTTAACCCAGTTAGGGACAATTAAATTAATTTGTCCTTTAAAAAAAAAAAAACTTCTCGTCCTCCCTCCCAAAAATCGGCGTCCATCCAAGACTGACGGATGGACCGTTCCGTCCCGGGGATGGAATGCCTATATCTGCAAATAGGTTTTGCACTTAGTTTGGCCATGTCTCTGCATGCGTTTTCAGAAAATTGTTTGACATACTCCTACTTGGATATAAGCGTATACCCATGCAGCCCGTAACTACAATGAACAACAAAGAAAAAAATGTACCCCTGAAAGCTGGCCGTGCCATTCCCTCTGCTGTCTTTGTGTGTTAAATGAGAAACACTTGTGACGAAGCAATGACTCACATTGTTCCATACTCCCGGTCAGACTTGAGTATAAACACAGCTGTGTGCCACCTGACACAGTTTTGTGAAAATAAACAAGCGGCTGGTATGCATAGCGTTCGTATGTGTATGTAAAGACCTTTGTACAGGTATAGCACAGCCTGACTGAATGGTACACAACTGCACAGCAACAGTTGGATCTCAAATGTGAAAATTATCGCTCTGAATATAACGATTACATTACCTTACTAGCTTATCCAATGGAAGTACTATTTTGATTGCCATTAGCAAGATCTTGCAAAAAAGAAACGACACACAACCGATTTCCATCTACTCTAAATTTTGAGAAAGCATTTTTTTTTTTTTTTTTTAATGAAACTCTGTAAGGAATTTACATCCATCTCAATTCTGGCTGCAGCACCAATTGATGTAGTGAAAAGATTTCTGGTCAAGTCATCACTGGACAATGCCAAATATTGCTTCTCAATGAACTGTTGTGCGGGGCAGATAACCTTGCATGTTACTGTCAACCATAAACATGAAGTCTTGGCAAGTGGAATCTGCACAAATTTTTGAAAGAATACAAAAAAAACAATGTGAGAGTACAAATGGTGTGGTAGTCAGCAAAAACAAATGCTAGTATGGCGAGCCGTACATTCATTTCACTTTTCTGGGGGGCACAATTTCACCTCAACAGAGGTTGTTAAATGTGATTTCATAATTTAATGTTGCTCATGTTGTTGTGTTGTGCCAATCCCATATCCCTCGACACTGCACGTTGACTGCCAACAGTCGAGTGAACCGTTATCGCCTTGATTACGCAGCTGGCCATCGGGAAATCACATTTGGCTTTTTCCTGCGATGACTTCAACAGACATCTCTTCCCTGCATGAATTCGCACTGCAGCCAGCCAGACGCCAGACGAAGGTTAACTCCCAATTTACAGTCACTTCACCCGTGGGGCTCTTTTTACGCAACGGTTCTCAAATTGGGGTCAGTGGTTCCTTGGGGTCCAGAAAACTGTTTGCTATGCAGTAAATGATCACATTGTTTATCTTGCTAAAATAATGTCCGATGTCATATATATCCCTGAAACATCTCCGCATGCTGGCCACCTGTGCTAATATTGCCGACATCCTCAGTTGAACAGCTCATACAAAATTAGCATTATTAATTAGTGTTAAATATAATATATTCAGTATTTGGGCCTGTTTTTAGGGTTTTCTAGAAAGAAAAAAATATGAATATTAACTTTGTGTCCAAATAAACAGGCCAAGATTTCACACTGAGTAAGTCATTTTGTGAGTAAACTGAAACAAGATTGTCGTCAATTCAGTATGCGTAATTTTGGCAACATTTTGGTTTGGTGGTGTGCCGTAAGATTTTTCTCAGGCAAAATGGGTGACATGGCTCAATAATATTTGGGGAAACACTGCGATCTACAGCGCTCGCAGCTTCAGCACTTTCTCTGCAATTAGCGGTACAAAAGGAGTCTCCTTGTTGAGCAAATTTCATGCAATCTCACACACACACACTGATTGACGTGATCTGTCACTTTGTGGTAATCTTACCTTATCACCTGGATGAGGTCTCATAACAGACACGCGGTTGTAGGCTTTCCTTAAAAGGGCCCACAATGCATCCAGCTTGTTCTATAGAAACAAAGCAGTTAAAATGCTAATCTTAATGACACAGATGTTGCAGTGCAATATCCTGGTTTCTGCCCTTCTTCCCGACATAGAATATATCAAGACCCCGTCTTCATCCATCTATGAATCTTCTCTTCGTAGTTTCAAACAAAGCAGCTATACTGATGATAAAGGGAGGCAATACAGCTGAGGTTGTTATTTTTTCCCCCCCCCTTCACAAAAATGCTAGTCGCACAGCCCTGTTCCCTGGAGGTCAGTCCAACAGGAGCCTGGTTTCCATTAACAATCTCCTTTCAATGGGAATGAAGTGTCACTCCTCTAAGCCAGCGCTGGACGAGCTGCGTCAAAGCAGCCGTGTTACTTCAAAATATTTCGTGTCACATTCATAAACAGATCTCAGCAATGTTTCTACTTACATGGCCCGCAGCTGATTAACATTGATCTTTTGTAATAGGTGTGCATTATCGACGCACCAACATGCAAACGGTTGCTTTCAAGGGCGTTTATAAGTGGGAACTGGCAAATATGAGTCCATCTGGCTCTGATCACAACTGGCCTTTGGTCTGGCAGCAATTTATCATATTCAGATTTTTTGTCACATTTCATTAGATCAGATTGCATACGTTTATGTATAATGCAGAAACAGACATTTATCTGCCTGGCCTGAAATGTACAAGAACTTCTGAATCCGGTTGAAGTTTCTCTATCTCAGCAATTATCAGAGCATTCATTCATGTACCTGTATGGGAGAGTACCACTTGTGCGGTCCGAGCGGTTTCTGCATGCCGTTGTTGAGAACACGCGTGGGGGACTGCACAAACTCCTGCTCAGGCATCTTCACTTTGGCATTTTTGGCCTTCTCCAGCTTTGCTCCTTCTTCTGTGGAGCCTTTCTCACCCCAGCGAACCTAACAAAGACCACTTTGCTGTAGGTGGATTTCAAGTCCGAAGGTGGAGTAACTCGACACTCTGTTCTCACCTCCATCCTTTTGATTCCCCCGACTCCCCGTCCTCCATAGTAGGAAGCATCTACAGTGGGCCATTTCTTCTTTGGCGTATCATCGTCTTCATCATCCTGTTGGGTTGTGACAACGAAGCTCAATGATGCGGGGATTTGAATAAGTCACTTCACTGGCTCCATGTACTGAAATGATGCCTATCAAAATGTCTTTGTTGCTATGGTTACAGTTGGATGGCGTGTAGATATGCAATGCATCAAACCAAGTGTTGAGTAAAATATTTGGATGACCTTTTTGGATAAACTGGACATAAAAGGGTCCAAATATAACAATCTACACCTCTGCAAACAATAACCACAATTACATTTCTACATCTCCAACACGTCAATAAAAATGATGCCAGATTAATTTTTTAAGGGCATAATCTTGGAAACAGATATTCTATTGTACAGGTGTACCTAATGTTGTGGCTAGCGACCAGAACACAACCTGCAAATATCCTCTTACATCGTACCCACACATAGTTTTTTAAGAATTTCTTCATTCTCCACTCTTACTTCCATTCTTCGGTTTTCTCTGTCTGTCAGTAGTGGTTGACACATCCAAGGAAATAACACAGAAGCCCAAAAGGAAATTGTCATGACGTTTCATCCTTGTAATATATTGTCCATCTGACTAATAATCTTTCATCTTGTCAAGTCGACAAACTCCTGACAAGCACGCAAAGGCGATCAGTTTCAGGATTCAACAGTATAATTACTGTAAACAAACGCAATGGGATACTAGTGAATTACTGGCCGGCTATACTTCCAAACAGAATGCGGGGAAGATTGACTTGAGGCTATAAATTAAAAACAGCCACAAAACTGGGATGGGTAAAGATGGAAAATAGCAAAAGTCTGAATTTCGTTGTTAATATTGGAGGGCGTCAACTCGTAACACATTTGAGAGATTGTTCAAGACTCATTCCAAGGCAAGAGAGAATGAGAGCACTTGGTCATTGAGGTTTAAGATGTCAGAATAAACTAAACACTGGCAGGGAATCATTCGAGTCTGAAAGAGTGGCGCTCCTACCGAACTCTCCTCCGCAATAGGTGGCGGCGGCTCATGGATGATCTGAGAAGGAATAAACACGCGGAGAGAGAAGATCAGTCCACATCAGATAAAGTCACGAAAGCATGTCGAAAACACGGTTGTCTCCGCCCATGGCTGAGGAAATGCTTCGTCCACTTAGATGAGCAATGCGCTGACCTAGAAATCTGCCGTCCACATTTTTTGGGGGCAAAATTGAGCTCCCAAAAATGCGACATTTATTTCAGTATTTATTTGTGGAGCAATATCCTCTCTGTGTAATATAGTCATGCTTTTCCTCATAGTTTCAGATGTGCATTGTTTGAGATTGCCGCAAGGCTGGAGCGTTACCAGCATATGTGATCACATATTGCACGTACAGTTTAGTCTGTCTGGCACAGGCCGCACGCGCCTCTCGTGTGTGGTTCTGTGTCATTTTTACCATCTACAGATGAGCTGTCAGGTTGATTCTAAACTAAATAAAGACAGCAAATTAAATGCGTGACCCTGATTTTTCTTATTTGTGATTTTCCTCCATCCTTCTCCAAATCCTGGCGCAAGAATGACTCTCCATGGTAACCCGGCATCATTTTCCCAAACAGACACGCATGGACTTGAAATGCCATGAAATAGACAAGAACAGAGAGCGTAAAGGTAGCCGTGTTGTAAAAAGATTTCAGTCCGAAAGGGGATGACTTATATTTTAATTTATATGAGAAGGTGGACTCACCACAGTGCAGCAGAGGGGCCAGAACCACCATAGGAGAGCCAAGATGAGCAGCAGCATCAGGATGAGCAGAGTAATGGCCAAAATGGTCCCATCAGACTGTGACATATAAACACAGAGCATCACTCTATGTAGAATTATACTGTCCAAAGATGGTGCCCTTTTATTTCTTGCTCCTTCGGTCGATCAAGTTGATTTGTTTCTAACTTAAAAGGCCACCATGTCATTTATTTGTCATGAGAGGCGGAAATAAACGATGTGAAGCACTGAATGGCATTGTTACTTGCATTTCAGAATCATCTTTATTGGCCAAGTATGTAGAACACACAAGGAATTTGTCTCCGGTAGTACAGGATACACGAGTATCATCATAAACAAGGACATGACAAATAAGGATCCATTACTACAAGCTTAAAGGCAAGATTCTTTGGCGGTGGCAAAGTTTGTGAGCCTTGAAGTGAGCCTGCACAACCACGCATGTGGTTGATTGAGGTGCAGTTGCTCAAATCGAAGGAGACGAAGCAGCAATACACACAGTTCATCTATTATTGTGTCTGTGGGGCATATGTTCACCCAGTCTGAGGCGCTGAGGTAAATTGGAGCTCGCAGTTAGTTGTTTGGCGTCAGATTGTCACGTTTGTAGTGAGCCATGGTTTTAATATTTGCGGAGCAATTCCAAATATTGACAACATTGACAACATATAAATATTACGTATTATGCAAGGGTCAATACTAGAGAGAAGGCTCAAAGTCTGGCAGTTTATATTGACTCATGTCATTAGCGAACTGGGTTTTATATCTCTTTGAGCTTCAAATATACAATATGTACGGAATGCAACAAACAGCGCTAACTTAATTTACAATTGTATGTCAGTTAAGAATATAAGCAAAAAAATGTGGAAAGTTACAATTAATAAAAGTTATGATGACAGTTTTGACACTGGAATGAATGCGTGTGTGTGTGTGTGTGTGTGTGTGTGTGTTTAGTTTTACAATGTTAGAGGACTACTTTCTGAGTCACGTTGTACTCACACAGCTCACAGTTGTAATGGTGACGGAACTGGAGATGAAACTGAGCCCTTCGTTCATACTGACGTAAAGATTTGCTGCCCTGGAAAAGAAATGAGAAAATGAGTGAACTGTCATACTGGCGGCACCGTGGAAAAACAAATGGGGGTGCGACAGTGAACTGACATTCCCTCATCCTGGAGCACAGGTGCCTGGCAGAGAAGATATGTATCCTCCACTATCAAAGGTTTGACCACTAGAGACAAAGATGGAAACGTTTCAATACATAAGCATGAGCCAAACATTCCAGTCTTCTCATAACCACTCCTATAAAAGACTGCTGAAAAGTCAAAATAACTGTTTTTCTGAAATCGATTTGTTGTTCACAACAAGTTAGTGAATGAATATTTGGCAAGAGGAGAGGGAACTCCAGGAACATGTTCACGGAAACGTAGTGACTTTCGCAAGAAGTCTGTTCACAAATTTCTGAGAAGTGCGTTCCCTTAAAATCAAAACAAGTGTTTTCAGTACTAAGGGAACAAAGTCTCTCGTAGAAAACACCTCAACAAAACAGATAGGTTTTGTTTTTGAGGCAAATCTAGGTCTTGTCCATTTCCAGCTGGCTTTTTGGAAAGCAGCTCCAACAAGCACCATGACCAGGCCACTGTGTTTATTCTGGCTGGGGGAGAGCATACCCCAGAAGTGAGGAAATCAACACGAGACACACATGGGCCGTGGCTGATCCACTCTTGAAACTCCATGCAGGATGGAGGGATAAGCAAATGATGTGGCCAGAAACAAGCTCAACAGCAACTGTGCCAGATCATATATGATCTCGCTCCACTTTGTCATCCATTAAAGAGAGAGATAAATTGGACTGGGGGGGGGGGGGGCCTTTGTAGGTCACTGATGGTGTAGTCGTACGCTCGCCTGACTTGTGTGTGGGCAGCGTCGGATCGGTTCTCACTCGGTGACGGTGTGCATGTGGGTGTCAAAAGCTGTTTGTCTCTCGATGTGCCCTGCGACTGACTGGCGACCATTTCAGACTGTAGTCTACCTTCCGCTCGAATTCAGCTGGGATAGGCCACAGCGAGCCCCCCGAGACTCGGTTCAGGATAAGCGGTGTTGAAAATGGATGGATGGAAGGATGGCTTCTCAAAAACAACTCCACAAATCCAGTGAACAGCACATTCACATCTAAGGTCAAGTGAGATGCTTCAAGTAACCTAATCTGGGGATAATTCACGCAAGTATAGGAAGAACATACAAATGCCACAAAGTAAGGCCCTAGCCTGCGTTCAAACCTCAGAATTGACTGATAAATGACATATTTTCCTCTGTAATATCTCTCCATGCAATATTTATCGATTATCGTGCAACCAGTCATCATGTCGACACGACATAAACTAGCTTTCGAAAACAGCCGACCTCTACCAGTTTGCCTGATAGAGCAGAAGTGTTTGATCTTTCTTTGTAAATTAAACCAACGCTTCCCGCTGAGCTGTGGTGTGCACAGTAGGAAGCGATTTCCACAACCATTAAAGTACTCCAGCCACAAAGACTGTGGAGAAATTGTTTGTTAGCCTAAAGGCAATTTAAACATTTTGTTTCATGTGTGGCACTGGTTGCCGTTTTCACATAAAATAGCAGAAGCGGGAAACTCGGCACCTGTCTTTGATCACACAGGATCCCAGCTGCGCACTGGACTTTTAATTTAAACTTCACCTAGATATGATAATGAGATCCAAGATAAGAGTCAAACATTCTCCCTTTACAAAGATATTAATGCTCAATCATGATGGACACGATCGGAAAAGTGTTGGTGGTGTGTAACAATAAAGGATATTTGTATTGACACAGCTACATCTTAACTCTAGTGAGAGGTATTTGTAATATTCTTATATAAAAACAATGTCGGCGTAAACTACACCCAGAAAAAATAAACATACTGGTCATTTGGATTTTAAGATCTGTTTCACTCACTTTTAGTAACGGTGTCATTAATGCGAAAGCTGCACAGGACCTTATCAACATTGCGAGCATGAAGGAATCCATTTCCTCTCACTACAACCTGGAATGACTCTGGCAGAGGAGAAATGAAAACACAAAATGTCACCTCAACATTTGTTGATGACCCCAAAATCTTCAGTGCCAAGTTTATGATTCTCAGCATGCAGGGAAACGTTGCTTCCTCACCTCCTGCACAGATACTGGAAGGTTCAGCTGCCAGAATCTCAATGCAAGACTTTTTCAGGATCTGAGGAAATGAGGGAGGGTGGGGGGAAAACATCAATATGGAAGCCTTATAACAGGAATAACTTGGCATTCTCCTCAATATTTTTACAGCGTCAGTGTTTCCTTATGCTAATCTCATGCTTCCCGTCCCACAGCATCCACTTGTGGCATTGCTGTGCTTCTTGACATGATATTGCTACTTCAACTGTTTTGAACTGTGCCTGGCATCTACAACAACATACTTGCTTCCTTGAAATTCAAATGAGATGATAATGCGCTGCAGATGAGAAGGCTAACCTATCGAAAGGCAATCTTGTTGTCACGACACACTGCTTTTTATTTCCTGACAACAGTGAGGTCACAAGAGATCCAGTAATCTATTTGATCCTGTTCGGCCAAACGTGGTCCTCACTGATCAAAAACAGCAAAGTCACAGTTACAGCAACATTTTTTTTTTCTGGGATTGTGTCCCAGGCAGAGTTTCATGGATGCAAGCGCTTAAAGGAAGCTTACGGTCCTTTAAGTTTGGTATGCATTCTAACGAGTCTAACTAGAAGATCATAGAGTGCAGGAGGTATTATATTTCAAGGTGATTTCCTGTGGGCCGACAATGCCATGTCGCTTATTTCCATACAGATGTTGCTTGTGTGGACCAGAGTGATACTTACAGAATCAATGACCCCTTGCAAAGCCTCAAATCCATCATTGACCGGGAATACGTGGTCCTTACTGTCAGCAATCTTCGCCAGCTGAAGGTGAGCAATTAAAAACACCAGTGAGCCAGATGTTGACATTTTGACAAATTTACCCACAATCATGCTGTATCGCTGTCTTTCCACTGTGCATATTATACTAAACACAAAACAGCATTCAATTATGAAAATAATACCCTTTTTACTTTCATCATGATCCTTGAAATGTTATTTTAGGCTGATTTTCTTGCTGACTTTTTGTTCCTGTCTGTCCAGATAACCAAATCTAGGGGTCTCCAATTCCGGTCCCTGAGGGCCTTCATCCTGCATGTCTGAGATGTCTCCCTCACTTCAACACAACTAATTCAAATGTTCAGGACCATTATTAGGATTCCGTAGAGATTGCTGTTGAGCTGACCATTTGAATCAGGTGTGCTGGAGTAGGCAGACGTATGAAAGACACAGGACAGTGGCCGTCGAGGACCGGAGTTGGTGACTCCTGCGTGTGGCATACTGTATGCTGGCACATGATTTTTCTTTTAAATTTAATTTATTTTTTTAGTTGGACGCAGGTACTGTGGCCGCTGAAAATGTGTGATGTGCTGTTGAAAAAGACAGCACGAGAGTATGCTGTTTTGCTGTACAGTGTGTTTTTTGCCCCTGAAATTTTTTCATTTAAAAAATGTTTTCGTGATTTTTAAAAAATTCTGTGATGTTAATATTTGCATATAACGATAGTCTATTTATTGCCATTGTCAAGTAAAATATTTGGCAGCTTGACCATTAAAATATTGCATTAAAAAAATCTGTAACCCCTTTATTACACTACACTATGAGAGGCTTCATTCCATGACAAATAAATGTGGAATGTTTTTCATGTTTGAGACATATGGACTAAAGGGGATGCAAACAGGCACCTGAGTCTCATTGAAGTCCTTCACCCCAACGCAGTAAACGGTGGCCCCCAGGCTCCGGGAGCGATTGGCCTGTCAGGTTGGCAAAGATTGAGAACACAAATAAAACAAAATTCCGTTCAGCACATGGATTCAGTTACATCTTAGCATTTTACAACATTTTACGAAACACAACTACACCGTTTTGAAATTTGTCATCCAGCTACATGTTTTACAAGACATGCAACAAGCAGGACTATTTTGAAAAATAAATCATTGATTTCATGAAGGACTATTATTACCCTGGCTAGCTACATGTGTTTGAACACACACAACAAAGTCCATCACAGCTCACCTGCACTGGGCTCTTACAGAAGCTTTGACTTAGAGCAGTAAACAGCAGGATTTTCAAAGCGCTGATGTGGCGCCATTTAATGGGGGTTAGTGGTGCAAACAGAAATGTTTCACCTGCTTGCAATTAGTGTAGAAGCCTATTTGTCTCTCTGACCTCTCTCTCGGCATAGTAGAAGAGATCCTCATGCAGCTCTCCATCTGTCAGAGCTATAATCACACTGGCGGTGCGATAACCTGCGGATGTAAACCATATGGTCAAATCCTTTGAGAATAAATGTATTATCTGTGCTTATCTAGAAAAATGTGTCAGATTTCAAGCGTAAGCCCCATTTATGAGCATGGAGAAACAGGTAATGGTGATAAGGCAAAGCTCTTTCACTTAGAGCATTTTAACATTTTTTTTAATGATTCCTCACATTAAAAAGGCTTAAAAGCTTCAGAGACCCCCTGACTCTTCAGTCTTTAATATGAGGATGGTTTTACTGGTAAGACTTTTACATGAAAAAGAAAGGTACAATCTTGTACGACAAACCTTCTATGTTTCCATAGTATATCTGCTCACTGGCCTGTGGAGCAAAAACAAGGACAATGAGCTGTCAAACAACCACACCCTGCAGGAAGGCAACATCTGTTTAGTGGGTTTTCTGTGTGTGCTGTTTATGTTGTATGAAGAGTGGAGTGAGAAATGCCGCAGCTCACCCTCAGGATGCCCTCGTGCATGAAGGTGTCCCCTCCTGGATGAACTCCCTGGAGCTCCTCCAGACCTTTGCGGATACGCTCTCTGAGGTGGCATACGCAAAACAAGCCCATCTCATATAATGCAATGTATTTACAGTATTTATTAAGATTCGGAGTGGTTGACAAAATCCAGGGTTCAGTTCGTATCTCGGCTTTGTGCTCACGGTGTTCGGTTTGATATGAGTTGACGGTTCGAAAACTCAATTGTGTCTTATATAGTTAGGTTAAAAGATAAAGTATATGTTCACAGCAGTATTATTAATGATTATTATTGAATTATTATTATTTCAATTATTATTATTTTGTTCTTCTAACTATGCCAGCGGCATAGTAAATAAAAGCTCTTTAAGTGAATGAGCTGAACTCATGCACACCCGTAACTTCATATCTTCACTCATGGGCATGACAGAATTCTTATCGTTTTTAGCTCTAAATACCACCACAGTGGTTTTGAAATTAAACGACAAAGGTGAGCTTTCACTGCAGACTTTAAGTTTTAACTTGAAGGCATTTACATCCAAATCAGGTAGAGCAGTTATTACAAGTCGTGTGTAGTAAGGCCCCGGGGGCCTTAACATGCAGCTAGCTGCATGTTAGCATTGCATATCCTTCGGTTAAGCCACGTTTCTGTGATAATCAAAACACCTAAGTCCCAAACGTAGCGTTTTCCAGCTATTTGTCATTTCAAGTCTTTGGTTTTATGTACCAGAGCTTGATTATGTATCATTATGAATCCAACTAGGGAAGCCTATGAGACGCCCCAATGCAATATGACTGGCTGCGGTGTCGCTGGAAGGATACGACCCACATATTGTCCACTGCTTGTGTACTCTTTAGCGTGAATCATGACATGCCACCATGCATGCCGTCATCTTGGCTTAGCACTCTGAGGGAAATGCAGTCGAACCAGTCTGAAATTGTCAAACGGAACGGTTTCACCAGTTTTCAAAAAAACGTTCCATCCCTAATCAAGATTCATTTCTACTTTTCTTTTGATATTTGTACATTTAATGTGTTTCTTTGTTGTCTCTCTTCACCTACCGGTACAAGTATATTGTGATGTAGTATTGCGTAGTCAATGCATGTTTATTTAACTAGAGTGACATTTGCCAAACTATCACAATCGTTAAAGGAAGTTACGTCATTACTCTCGCCTCAACCGCATAGAATGATCCAGATGGATTAAGTAGTACAGGAGTCGTACAATATTTGAGTGCATCATCTTAGGGGAACAAATTAGATGCAGACCAGGCATGTGCACGGATATTTTGGAGGTCAAGTGCTCAACCCCCAAAAAAGAGCACCCAACACCAGAATTATTCTTACAATTGAGATAAAACAGTATTATTGATGACCTTATTTATTTATTTATTTCTGTTAACATAATCAACAGTCAATAATACAACTTTTAGCAAAGGAGGTGAAAGGAAACCACAGCGGATATAAAGTCTACACGCCCCTGTTGAAATGGCAGGGGTTTATAGTATAGTATAGCATAGCAGAGTACTGTATAGTACAGTACAGTTTAGCATTAAAAAAAAAAAAATCCCAAAATAGGTCATATGTACCCACCTGTCCTCTGTCAGGCTCATTAAAATCTTCCCTTCAGTGGAGAACACGATAAATGACATCCGTAATTGTGGACTAAAGAATAGTAGAATGAAATTGTGTTAGATCAGTTTCCTGAAAGGTTCTAAATTCCAAAACACTGATTAGTTTACCTTATGAATTTATGAGCTAAATGCTCAACAAAATGGTAGATTTCAGTCCAGTGGTCCATCACACTCCCAGATCTATCAAAAACATCACATGGTTAGTTACATCAAAGAAAAGAGAGCTGCTTTTTTAATTGAGTGGTGTTGAGTGTTTCCACAGAAGCAAATCAGCAACAGTTTGGAGCTTTAAGCCGCTTTCTCCTGAGGGAGTACGTTCTTTTAGCTCTGCTCAAGTTATCGCGAACATTCTTCTAATACACCCACAATTAATTATTCCGATCTGCGAAATGACCGCACATTAAGTCACCGTGTATACCACCCTGTGATCACAAGTTCAGTGTTGATGTTAATCCATTTTGTTCTCTTTTGTACCCCCTCATAGTGAAGCTGAGCTGTTGGTATTCATTGTTTTCCTTCATGTTTTTATTGGGTTGAAGCGCAACTGCCACAAAGACCTCGACATCCTGTGCAATTTTTTTAACACGACACCATCACAGAGCGAAAGGAAGTCATTCGCCATTCAGGATACTAACATATCTTTTATTGCATGATATGAAATAAAGACGCGTGTGCTTGTATCTTCAAATCACTTTTGATGTCCTTGTTTAAACTTTGCTTTTATAAACTCAGATTCCCCACCACCCTCTTCCTCCTCCTCCTCCTCCATACCAAACACCTATTTTTCCATTGTTGCTATGACATAAGTTCCAGTGCGAAAAAGCAAGACAGCAGGCTGAAACATTAAAACATCTGGAGCCAATGAAAGATAGGCTGGGAAGACAGCAAGAGATGATGAGGCTAATACTGGGTGGGGGCAGGTAGAGGGCATGGTTGCTACAAGTTCACTGTATCCAGAATAAAATACAATGCAAAAACAATAAAAAGAGGCAGCGATATCATGCCTTCTGTTAACACATGGAATGGCATGTAGATGTGCATCAACTTTGACACATGCACGATTCCCACACGGAGAATCTACATTTACTCGGACGATGCATCGGCGTGACTGGAGATGAGTACACGCACTCAAGTTACACATCCAACCTTCCACACATTAATATGCCGAAGTACTGTGCTTCTTGATGGCCTAAGTACTTAGAGGATTAATACATGGAAATGTATGAAAGTGGAGAGTTTACTACTTTAACTTTGAAGACAGACTGATATTCTTGCCACAGATGTCCCAGATGTGGCAACTCTGTTTTCCGGCTAAGATCTCTTCAACGTGTCTCAATGAAGGCTGCCGGTCTAATTTCTGGATTAACGATTCACCAAAACTATTTAGATGAGTACCAGGTGGTACACTGTCCATTATAAAGCACCTCTCACTTTGGCTTTGTACCGCTGTAAACCACAATATAGTGAGTGTTTTTCAAATGAATCCTCCTCTGACAGCGTCTATCACATCTGAGTACGATTATCATTCTAAAGGTAGAATTTTTGGCACTACTTTCGGTGTGAATCACATGAGATTGTACAGGTCTACCTAATGAACTGTCCAATATGAGTTTAGTGCATGTGAAACCCTCCCTAAACCATTGCCTTATATTTGTGTGTATGTGCAATATTGCCCATTTATTATTTATTTTGGGTTAAAAGTCTCCCATCTGGTCTGTGTTATGTTGATGAGAACAAACACAACAAGGTGTTACAAGAGTAATTGTTAACATATGTGGATATACAGTGTGCTATGGTAAAATATAGTTTAGACCCTATGACACCATTGCAATACCAATCCATCTACACTGCTGACATGGCAAGACAGCAGGGTGCATACTGATCACATTTCAAATGACTTCATCACAACAAGCATAAAAAGGATCAAGAATTTCTCACTAATATGCTTCAAATTCAATGGCTCTGCATATTGGACTGTATGTTTGTATTTGTCAATCGTTTGCAGAATGAATTCATGTGTTGCATAAAAAAAAACTTTTTGTCACAAATCGATTCTCTCCTCAGTATTGTACAACAGAGTTCAACTCACTTGTCCAAGACAAAATAGAGGTCAAAGCCTCCATAGCACGAGGACGAGCCCGCCAGCCTTCTGTCGTGGTCGGATCCGGTGTGAACAAAAGGAATAACCAGAGTGGCAGCAAACAAAACTGGAATCCACGATCTTCTACTCCAACATGTAGACATTATTCCATCTGAAAATCCCACACAGGTAAGGTGAAAAATAAGAGCACCTTTTTCAAAGTGTCAATGAAGATGGAGCCAAGACAGTTGCCCTTGATGACCCCTGTGTCAGTCCTTCACAGTCATCTGCGGCATCCAAAATAAATAATCATCCAAAGCAGAAGTGTAACTCAAGAAGTGAAGTTGAGGAGCGCTCTCTCATAAGAGTGGGTCCAACAAAGATAATGCAAAGGCCTTCTAGAATCGCAACCTCCCACTTGAGCTTTTTTGTTCACCAAATGACCTTGCCAACAGGCGACCCTCTAACTTGTTAACTCTCGCCATTGACATGTTTTGTCCCCCCGCGCTGCCTTAAAGTGAAGAAAGCAGGACAATGGGAGCTCTACCACCAATTAGTAGATTCTGCCCCCTAGAGGTGGTACATGATAGAAAGTGATGTGACGTTAGGCCATACTGATGCAGGTCTGTTATTTTACTCATTGTATGTTGCCGTATTTGATTGTTGACTCGTGGTAAGAGCAAGCATTTATATATGCTGTAGATGTTTTTGGTTTTTTTACATACTTTATACATACTTCATATTTGCATCACCATTCCAACTCATCTAAAAAAAGGGCTCTTTCAGTTTTCAAAATCCAAAGACTACTCTTTTCTCAGATACAGGACAACCTACAAAGTCAACCCCTTTAAAACTCATATAAATGAGAGTTCAACAACAAAAAAGAAATAATTAAACTTGATCATGCAACAAATATTATAGGACTCTCAAGCATGTAAATGCTTTGTGGGCTGGATTCAAGAAAAGAGTGGGCTGAATGTGGGCCTTACTTTGGCAGCTCCTCCCGTATAGGATGCATTTTCATAGCTTATGCATTGGCAATGAGTAAACATCGGGTCTATCTATTCAGTGTGTCAACAACCAAAAATCAAAATCATCAATCAAAATCTAATTAAATATATTCTCCTCTCCACTCTAAATCACTCCCTGTTGCAGAAATGATTACTATACGCGCCCACACACCTGCTTGTTTTTGTGCAGGTATGCACACGAGGGCTCCACAAAACTTGCGTAAGTACACTCTTTATTAAAAATTGTGGAATAACATGTCAGTGTGCATGTGGTTTGGTGTTTCTGGTTGACCCTTTGCAAATTTGTGCCATGTATTATGGCACTGTTTTTCTTTGGGTCCTCTTTATTGTCCAATGTTTGTCCATTGTTCAGCAGTGACTTTGCACATGTTACGTCTCGTTGGACCCAACAAGGATGTGTGTTGAAAATGTTGCCATAAAACTGAAAATTTTCAATACATTTGTGTGTTGCAGCTTCTATGCATATTTTCAAGCTGAACATGTAAAATTCATTGTAAGTAGGGCAGCCAAGAAAACATTCCAAAATGAAAAAAAATAGATTGTTGGTAATAAATGAACACAGTTCCATGGAACAAATATTCCAATTTAGGTTGCAAATGTAGGCCAGTGATTCTGCTAATATTCAAGCCAGCAGAGCCTTGCTGGCTCACCACTGGTGATTATTTTGGTGATCTTATGGCTTTGGTGCTTAAAATTCGTTATGTTGATATTTACTGAAGGAGGAGAAAAGCTGTCTTATGTCAGGCGGAAAACACATTTCATCAGACGTCAGTGCTTTCCAAGGGTACGCAATAGGGGGCGACAGTGTGGCCCTCTTGTCGCCAGAGGAAGAACCTCAGCGGGTACAGTTGATGATAGCTGTTAGCGTACAGCACGTACAAGACGTTTGAGTGGTCCCTTGTCAAAGTAACAATCGCCATCGACTAACCGAGAGCGAGGGGGTTTAATCGAGGCACGCCGACGACGACTTTTCCAAGATGAGCTTTCTATTGTAAGTACATTTGACAAACATTCTTACTCGTGATCTCGTTTTGTCATGGTCTCTTGCGGTTAACGTTAGCTAAAGTTCCAGCAGAGGAAGTAACTAAAAGCAAGAAGACTCCGTTGCGAAAAATTGCTTACCGCCGTTGCGATGATGGCTTGACCAGTTACTTTGTAGTAAAAGGGTATTTTCATTCAACGAAATACGTGGAATGTGACTATTTGAACTATTCAATCAACTGTCATTTAATTAGAACTTACATGCTAGCTAGAACGCAAATGTTAGCACCGAGTTGGGGAGTTCCTTTCGTCTGACGTGTAGATATTGTGAACATTTATTACAATGTATATCCTCTTATGTTAATTGTTGTTTGTGTAATTCTAATTTTATACAGCGATCCTTGCTCAGTTGCTTCAGGGAGCCATTTAGGCAATGCGCTACTTTTATCACTGGCTGTGGCGACACGTCTCATGCACAATTCACTTGTACATTTACGTGTCATACATGAAGACTAAACGGACTCTTTACACGATCTGAGCTGTATCACGACTTCAGCCTTTACAAAAAATGATCGTGCTCAGTTTTGATGGACACAGTCACAACAGGCTTCGTTGAATATCTAACAATGTCTACTGATGTGATTTTAGTTTATTAGAGGTGTACAACTACAATGTATCAATTGAATGTAATGTCTGTCTCCAATATCAAAAATAACTTGTGATCAGCTCCTTTATGGGATCGCAATAAACAGTGAGTCATCCAGTGAACGTTTACACCATTAATAGGATTTGTGTCCATCAGCTCTTTACAATGTAACACATGTATTGGAAAGGCCAACGAATAGACGAATCATTGGACGGTATTGTGAAATGGGGAGTTGATATTGCAATTGTTTGCCTCATTTGTATGATACAAGATTTCATAGCATCGGACAACTGTTCAGCTCTGCCTGTGTTTCCCTCCAGTAGTAGTCGCTCATCCAAGACCTTCAAGCCCAAGAAAAACATCCCAGAGGGCTCCCATCAGTATGAACTGTTGAAACATGCTGAGGCTACGCTGGGCAGTGGGAACCTGAGGCAGGCAGTCATGCTGCCAGAGGGAGAAGATCTCAATGAGTGGATCGCTGTCAACAGTAAGTGCAGAAATAAAAGACGCACATTGAATATCAGACATTGTTTTAACTGATGCAATGAACTCCTGTGTAATACAGAGAACCTTTCCAAAACTAAACTGGTGAAAATTCACGGTATTTAGACCATGGAAAAACCATTTTAGGCTTTAAACACATTTACATTTATTAAAGCACACGTTTACAGTGAAGTTCATAAAGTATTCCTGAGCACATCTTCTCAATCTCGCTTGCCCATTACTTCAGATGAGAGACAAAGTGCTGTTTTATTGGTGACTCCCAGTTGGAGTTTACTGTGAAACACACACATACAACAGAAGAGAATTCAACATTGTATAGTTAAACACCAAAACGTTAAAACAAACCAATGCCAGTTGGCCACCACCTAAAAAGGCCTAATGTTGGACAGTGTATATAAACCCATACAAATGACCGCTTAAAATTTTATGATGTAGGGGGTGTGTGAATGCTGACCCGCCATACATAGGGTCAACGCTGTATTTCACATCCCTCTTTTTAGTTCTATAAATTAAGAAATAATCCACAATGCATACAAGGTTATTTTTTAAAATTATTGTTACAACAGAAGACATGGACTGCATTTTTCTGTATTTCAGCGGTGGATTTCTTCAACCAGATCAACATGTTGTACGGCACCATTACAGAGTTCTGTACTGAGGCTAGCTGTTCGGTCATGTCTGCTGGGCCCAGGTAAGGCAGTAAAGCACACTGATTCATAGAAATAAATGTATGTGAGTTTGCCACACATAAATAAGTATTTTGACAGATGAAGGGCTCCTCTGGGGGAAAAGAAAATTCAAAATTTGATTTAATAACATTATATGACATTATTGTCTCTTAAACAGGTCATGAACATTTAGGTTGAAAACAAAATACTCCTATGGTACTTAGGGCTATGTTGTAGTTGTTTAATTGGCATTAGGTTTATGAAAGGCTCCTTGGAAAAATCCTATGAGGAATCCCTTGACCCAATCTGTTCAAGAACATGTAAATGTTGCTTTTACAAACAAAAAATGCCTGCACCGAATTTCTCAGTTGTTGTCTTGGGATTTGAAATGGTAAATGGTTGTAACAGTAAATTAAGTGATAGCATGAAAATCGCTTGAATAAAGTGGTCTGAAATGTGACTTACACTCCCTTCAGACGCTTGCCGTTCGTTGCTCTAATCTCAATCTGGCATTTCCTCATTCCTCTCTTGCCGTGACGGTCAGCGTTTAATCAAGAGGAAGGGACCAGGGCTCGCTTCCTGCTCACAGAGCAGCTCTCAGAAATATACACATGCAGAAGAGATACTGCTCCATTTCCCGTTCTTGTGCATATTTTTAGTTTATCTCCCGCAAAGCAAAGTTGGCATGAACTAAGTTGATATGTCGATCTTTTAAGCCATTCTGATCTTCTGCTGCACCTCAGTCATATCACTGTTACCTTGTTTGCTCAGTTTAACTTGGTCACTTTTTTTGCAGATACGAGTACCACTGGGCTGACGGCACCAATATTAAAAAGCCTATCAAATGCTCTGCGCCCAAGTACATAGATTATCTGATGACTTGGGTCCAAGACCAGCTCGATGACGAGACTCTTTTTCCCTCCAAGATTGGTAAGATTTGATTTTAACCAGGAAGGTGTTTCATTTTCAGATAAATGACAGCCTGATGATTTTTCGATGATCTTCACACTCATCTGTACTGCCAATGGAGAACTCATCGAATTGACCAGTGTTCTGTGTTAACAGCTAAGCCAAAGTCAGGAACTAAACACGTTTTTTTCCCCCCATGTATTAATAAATAAAACAAAGGTATGTTTGTGCTCTATTTAGATGGAAGAATGAATCAGTTGACTGGTGTGCAGCCTGAGGACAGATTTTCAGTTTCTTAGCACAAATGACTAATCTTGTGACTTCAATTATATGGTATAATTTGATGACGTAATGTGTTTAAAGCACTCCTAAGACTCATCAGCCCAGTGAAGATGGCACCAGCTGATTGACAAAAGTCAGTCAAACTGCACGGAAAACAAGGACCAAAAAAAAAAAAAACTGCAACAACAAAAACAATTAGACATCATCAGGTTTTAGAGATGTCATTACATTGCATACGGAGTTAAGTCTATTTTCCACCTGACAGGGGTTCCGTTTCCCAAGAACTTCATGTCTGTGGCCAAAACCATCCTGAAGCGCCTTTTCAGGGTTTATGCACACATCTACCATCAGCATTTCGACTCAGTGATGCAGCTGCAGGAGGAGGCTCACCTCAACACCTCCTTCAAGCACTTCATATTCTTTGTCCAGGTGAGTCACTGTACCATTTGCAATTTGTCATCTGCGACTTACTGAGATGGGACAGCGGAAGTGTTCTTCTGCAGCCATCTCCTTGTGGCTCAACCATTTACAAAATGTGAAGAAGCTGTTGGCAGACAGCTGAAATGTATGGCACAGCAAATCAGCGAAGTTTTAAAATGGAGTGGATGTGATTTTACTACGTTTGCTTTCCAAAAAACACAGCTCAAAATGGTTTATTTATGTGTTCCCTGCAGGAATTCAACCTTATCGACCGACGAGAGCTCGCTCCCCTGCAGGATTTGATTGAGAAGCTTGGTTCCAAGGACAGATAGACATTACACCACACTCCTCCCCTTACTTTTATGCTTTTGATCACTTTCTTTTTCATCCCTCTTCTTGGCCTCTGCTACCTCCGTGACTTCAGGTCTCAACTCAGTGTGTGCCTTCTTGTCATTCCTTTCAGCTGAGCATTTGGATTGTACCATTTCTTGTGATCCGTTTGCTGTCTTTCACTACTGTCTGAACCTCCACGCATAACTTTCTACTCCCTTTATTTTGTCCTATTGGCTTTTAATTTGCATTGTGTATTAAATGTATTCTTTGCAGGACTGGTTAATAAGGAAAAATAACATGTTTTGTTTACTTTTTAATTGGACCAAGAACATTTGGAAGTGGAATTGAGTTGTTTCCTCTTTTAAAAGCTGGTTAATGCTGTTTTTTCATATTCATTGTTGAACTGTTTTCACTGAACAAATATCCAGTTCTTACATTTAAATCAGGTCCTACTATATCATTTGAGTAAAGCAAAACATTTTTAGAAGTTAGTAGGTGAACCAAACAACACGTTTTCAGTCCCAAATCAAGACGTTTGATGTGCTTGATGTAGTGTAAGGCAATACAATGCATTGACAGGTGATTGTGAGAAGCCTTTTTCACATATATGACTACATTTCTTGTCCGTTTTCCAGGTATTTTCATGAATATAGATATAAGATAAAGTAAAGGGCCTCCAGTAAACAGGTGTATAGTGAAAATACAATTTATAGAAAGACGTGGAATGTAGATTTGTAGTTAAAATAGATATTTTTGTTAGGTTATTTCTATGGTGCCGATCGTTTGTGGAACTGTGGATAGTTGAGTGTTTCCTCAGTGTTGGTACTTATTTCCCTAGAGGTTAACATTTATTGCCTCTGCGCCAAGAGGGCAAAATAATGTAAATATAACAGTCATGATCCTGTCTTGAACTCAGGCTACAGCAGCTGGGCTGTGTGTACTGCCATCTTTTTACTAACCAATTGCAGCTGGGATTCTAATGGATGTTTTGGATTTGGCAACATTGACTGCAAATGGACCTTAATTCCTGACATAAGGGGTGTTCACACGGCAACGTTTACTCCTTATGAACATCAGGAACCAGCAGCTGCCATCTGCTGTAGTAATGTTTCAGTAATTACAAGTAGACATTCCTTCTCTTTCTTTTTTAATTTACTTCCTCAAAAAAAGCCCTTCTTGTTGATTTTAATATTACAGCAAGCATGTCAAATCTAGTCCCGTGTGTATTCCAGCCACATTTCATATTTTTATACATGTAGGCTCAGAAAGAACAAGGGCTTGTGAATCACCCGAGGATTTTACGGAATCCCTTGGTGGTCACTGACTGGTAGGGGATGCACAAATGTACAAGTATGTAATGTGTCCAAACATTTGCTGTAAATAGATCAGCATTTTTATCTGATAAAGCTGTGCCTTTACATTGTTGAAATGTCTTGATATGACTGTATTGGCAGATTTAAAGCTCAATAAAAAACAATAATAACATCAGGACAATGCTTTGATTTTATTTTATGGATACTTTAAGAGCAGGATAGTGACTTGATCACTGAGCCACTTTTATGCTTTCAATATTTTTCCAATTTTATTTAGTCCAAACATACATGGTTATTATTGCTTGTTCTTGTAATATAAAAAAATCACTTAAACGTGTGCTTATTCACTGAATTCAAGTAGTCCTTTTGCTCATTTAATGTATAAATTAAAACGATAAATGAAGTTTTCGACCAATCAAACCGCGAGTACCACATAGTGACCCTAAATGTTGTCTATACAGGTTTTCATTTGCTCAATTAAATGTCAATATAAAATGAATTTAAGTAAGAAGGAGTATATGTCCAGCCATTTCATTTTCTTTGCAGATTCAAAAATATTAATTATCATTGCGGTAGTGTCCTACATTCTCATCATTTTATTCTACGTGGACTGCCTGTGAGTCAACACGCTGGGCAAACTAAAAAACTTACACAGCAGAGAAGAAATTTGGTGATCGTGCTCGAGATATAGCGATTAGCCTGCGTCTGAGAATTTCTCATTTGTTCTGTGCTCTTATTTCGAAGGCAATTACTGTCATGATTGCCTTCATCAGTAGGACTGTCATGTCACTTCTTAGACCTGTTCCGGTTGACAGAAATCTGATGATGCGATAGCTTCTTGGGTCCGTTAGCCAGGCTAGTTGGTTAGCAGCAAGTTAAAGCTAGCATTAGCTCAGGCAAAGCTACACGGGAACGGTTGCTAAGCTACATAGCCGGGCTGCAGGCGTCACTTGCAACGCCATTTATATTTTATGTGTGGTTAAAACACTCCCGCCGGCATAAGGTGAAGATGCTTATTGTTCTTCGTTACTGAAGACCGCCGCTGTGTCTGCTAACGTTAGCTAGCCGGTAAGCAAAAGTGAAAGCCACTGTCAGCCACTGTTATTTTCTTATGTAAATGCTGTACATGACTGTCGTCTCTTAATCATTATTATTATTATGGTTATTCGCTGGGTAAAACAAAACGGTGTACGCAGCAAATTAGGATCTCCACACTATCTGTTTAATTATAGACCGTCTTTTTTTATTACATTCTTTTGCTTTAAATTGATGTGGTTTAATTCCTCTTCAAGTAAAGGCCTTGTGTAAAACAGTTGTATTTAAATCCAGGCTTGGTAAGACTATGGCAGACGAAAATACTCAGTTCTGCGGCAACTGGTAAGTACCTGTCAAATTAATCAAGGATTCACATTTTGTGGTGAATAATATTTAATTGTTAATTTTACTTGTATTTTGAGCAAACATGACATTCCAGAAGCAAATTTCACTACCCATGAGATCCACTGCCGAAGAAACATTGCACTTTGTGATGTCTGCCTGGAGCCGGTGCCACGCTCAGATCTGCAGGAGCATAAGCAGCAGGAACACAGCCAGGTAATACATTTTAAGAAGCCTCCATATGTAGGCAACATTGTATATGATGATTCAGCGCTGCAGTCTTTTTTTTCCTCAAGTCAAAACACAAATAATAGCACAAATCTGAATAATCTTCCATTCTAATTTCCCATCTCCTTTCATTACAGATTACATGCAAGTGTGGACTCAAGATAAATAAAAATCAAATTGAAGTTCACCAGGTATTTATTAATTCTTTGGTTTTTATTTTTCAATTAGGCCCAGAAGTGTTTGAACAGTGACAGTATTTATTTATTTGCTGATGCACCAAAAGAATAGATTTAAAATAATACGGCCAGTATGTTATTGAAGTCTAGACTTAATAAAAAATAGGAATTATTTACATTTATTTTGTAGACTACTGTGCAGTCCTTCCATTTTTAGGGACTCATGAGAGAAATTTTAAGGCTTGTATAAAAAAATCCCTTCGACCAAAGATTGGATGGAGCTCATGGACATCAAGCAATTTAGAGCTTTTTTTCCTCTAGCTATGCTTTTCACAATTTTCACTGCAGCTACCTTCATTTTGGCCATTTGCCTTCAGGTTTTGAAACGCGTGTGCTATTGAGGCATCATGTTACTGACGTAACGCTAGAAGAATATTCAATTTATTTGGCTTCAACAAGTATTGATTTGCTTTGACAGTATGTTTAGGGTCATTACATATTCCTTTGCGATGCCAGTTTTAGTGTTTTATTATATTTACTGTCTCTGTATTGGATAATTTATTGTTTTCATTGTTTTTACATTTCTGATTTTTACTTTATGTACAGCACGTTGCTGCTCTGGTTTTGTGCTCTATAAATAAAGTTGAGTTGAGGTGTATCACAAATGCAAATATGAACAGAGTAGGATCCTATACACCTCACAATCTACATTGGGAACCCTTTATATTGACATTAATGAATTTATACTCGCACTCACATTCACACCTATGGACAATTTAAGCAATTGTCTAAAGCAATTGTCACACTTTTTCCACCACGTACCGCCTACAAATATGCCGAGCACTTCAATTACCATTATAATACCAACATAAATACAGTGGCAGAGTAGGTCTAAGTATACATGAAAACCATATTTTAAGTGAACATTAAAACGACGCCGAAAAATTGGGAAGTTGTGCTTAAAAGTTGCAGCTGACCTATACTTGGTCAGCGATTAAAGTGAGGCTGAGCACCACTAGTGGTACGAGTGCCACACTTTGAGAATAATCGATCTAGAGCAGGTGTCACCAACATAGTGCCCGTGGGCACCAGGTAGCCCCCAAGGACAATTTGAGTAGTTCCCGTGTCCAAATTTCTAGCAATGCTGTATAAGTGATCATTTCAAAATCTGAACCTTGGCAGAGATGTATAAAAATATAGTGTTGGCTATTCATATTTATGTTTTAAAATTATTTTGAGAAATGATTACCATGATCAGTGTCTTATCAAAAATGAATATAATTAATTATGAATACCGGTAATAACGGAAAGCAATTGGAGCAAGTTTGTTATTTCCGAAGTGCGTGTTATCAAACTGGTTGCTATTCACATGAATCATTAGCTCTCAGTTGGAAAATGGTTGGTGACCACTGATCTAGAGTCTTAATTTAGCCCAAACATGGATGTTTTTGGAACAAAGGAGCACAGTGAGAACACAGAAACCTCTGGGCCAAGAGTTAAGAATCAGAACCTTCGACTACGAGCCAGACATGCTTTCTGCACTAAAGCACATTAACACTCTGAAGACAATGAAATTGAATAGTTTTCAAATGACCTGATCTCAAACCAGTTGGACATTTCACTCACTGATGACAAAAGGCGAATGCCTGGCAAAGAGTTTGATGGGAGGAAGTCTGAATTTGGTGATGCCAAAGGACTCCCGACTTGAGGCATTCAGTGATGCGAAACCATTGTTTGAAGCGTTGAAAAAGAATAGTTATAGACTAACAGTATGTCATATTACCCCTAAAAATATAGGTAGTCCAAATAAATGGCTGTCATTCCTAAATGGTAAACGCCTTGCTTTTGTGAAACCTCTGAGAGCTGAAAATTTACACTTGAAACCCCTCTTGGTGGTTTAATTTCAAACACCGTGTGTATGTGTAAAGGCAAAATTATGAGAGCCCTCATAATTCAAATACAAGCGACACTAATTGTAAATTGAGTAATCATGCATTTTCACAACCTTTCCTCCTGCAGATCTCTGACTGCTCTCAGAGGCTGGTGGCATGCCAGTACTGTGAATTGGAGATTGCCTACAGTCAAGCCAGAGAGCATGAAGATTACTGTGGAGCTCGCACTGAGCCCTGCCCACAGTGCAAGTGCAATATCATGTTGAGGGAAAAAGCCCTGCATCCAATGCTATGTGGTAGTCCCACACTGCTCCAAGAGAGGAACAACAGCTACTCCAGTCGCAGTCCGGCAGACCTGCAGCCTCCAGGGGCCTGGTTTGAAGGCCACTCCATCCGAAACACCCTAAGAACCGAAGAGCGGGGACCCAAGGAAAACAACCTCAGTGCAGCAAAACGTCAGGTCTTTCCCCGGGCTTTTGAGTCCATGTTTTACAACGCTTCAAGACAAGGCAGCGGAGACTGGAAGAATATCGCCCCAAGGAATATGACATCCAGCCGATGTGAGTCGATGATTTAGCTAAAACTTTTTTTTGTTGTTGTTTTTGACACGGTATCTTTTATTCATGTGAAATTGGAACAAATGAATCCAACGTAAAGGCGTCCAAATACAGTTTAAATTGCAGTGAAACACTCATTTATCACAGACCCCTAACCTCATCATGTCAAAATCGGCGATATTAATAATTATATATACTGTTTTTTTAGGGGGGGGTTGGGTTTTTTTTTTTTTTTTTTTTTTACCTCCTGACACAAATGTCATGTTTTCATAATACTGTATTTTTCGGACCATTGGATGTACCGTATTATTAGGCGTAATATCAATAAATGGGTCTAGTTATAAGGTGCTTTATTTTTGTGAAATATTGTATGTTAAATAGTTTGTTGTAATTGTAACGTAAATATTTATTTGACAGATTTAGCACTATTATGCTAGGATTAGGACCGAACACGTAGCACCGTGTGTCTCGCTTGCTTTTGTACACTGTGCGACTCCACGGGGGTTGCTTTGCCATTATCCAACCTTTTTTGCTTCATCCCAGCAGCTATTGGAAGCTGGTAGTGTTGTTGTCCTCTTGCTGGTCCATCATTGTAACATTGGAAATAATATCACCAGAAAAGATGATCTTGTTATAGGCTAAACGTTAAAGCTGAACCCATATTTCGTTTCAAAAAAAAAAAGTTCCATCCTTTCCATTGTTTCATCAGGCAAAAGTAAGAACGTTCTTTCAATCTTTGCAATTCTGTTGTGGTGCCAAATATAACAGGAGAGCGAGACAAATAATGCTCTTCTGTTGCACATTGTTTGGATGAACTGTTGTCTTTTTTTTTTTGTAGTAGCTGAACAGAGCGACATCCTGAGTCGCAGCAGTGCATGGCCAATTCAAGACGAGGATTCATCAGGCCTCGACTACATGCTGGCCCTCAGCTTGCAAACAGACGGAGAG